GGTGATTTGCACTGCGTAAGGAAACACGAGCACCACTAAACTCACTGAATCACTGTGGTTTCAGCTTCTACAGGCGCTACAGGAAGGCTGCTCCCCACGGCAGAACTTTTACTAACGTCACATTTTACTTTACTTTGGGAGACACTACTGCTCTGTTTACTACTGAAAAAGCAGGTAGGTTTGATTTATCTGGAGGGATCTCTGCAGAGACACACAGCTGCTCACATCATGCCAGCTTTCATCATTACGGAGGTTTAACAAGTCACAACCAAATCTGAGCACCGGCGGTGCTTCATGCTACAACCCTCAGTCGTAACTCAGTGTTTGGTTCAAGTAGGTAGAAAACTACAAGATGTTTACGTCTCATTTTGTGCTGGACCGCCTTTAAGTTTAAAGTGTCAGGAAGAAGTCCAGAAAAAAACGTCTGGTAAACTCAACTGCTTTCATGCATGTTAGCCTGTTAGCTTAGCATAAAACTAGAACAAAATCCCATGTAAAAAGTAATGAAATTCATCTACAACCACTTCAAAAAGTCATCTATTTTACATCAGCCAACAAGTCGTTATTTGATTACAAATAGCTGTAGATTTTAACCAGAACCTGTTTAGAACCTTTCTTTAAAGCCGTGGTTCTGGTTAGCTAAAGTAGGGTTCTGTTGGGTTGTTAGTAACGCAGAGCGGAAGCCGGCGTTCTGATGGAACATCATCAGAAACGCACGAACCCCTCCATGTCATCCTCGCATGAGTTTGCATGAATGCTAGAAACTAACCGTTAGATTGTACATACGATGCAGACTCACTTTAACTCAAAAACTTCATGTAGGTGCAGTCAGATAATGACTACTTACAGACGCCTCACAGAAGCCCACTTTAAACCATTAAAAGAGGGAAAAAAAATGGCTGCCATTTTCCTACACATACATTAAGCTTAAAGGGATGAAGATGACCAGCATAGATTTTTATTTTCAATTTATTGGTGTGTCAGTTATTTTGGATCAAGGTTTGGCAACATACTAGTAAAAATCTGTAATGGTTTATTATACCTTCGCTAACACATAAGCCCATTTCTCTCTTGCCTAACTCTAGTTTCTGCCCATAAAGACATCATTCTATAACTGTACTTTTAAAATGATAAATGGATTTAATAAAAATAGGTTTGAAATGTTTAAATCTAATATATTTTTGAATTAAAAATATATTATTTGCTAAATATTTTATATATCCGTTAAAACTGCGGTTCAGATCCGCATTTGGACCATTTATGCAGATAATTAATTTCCACCGGATCAAACCAAAACAACGTAAAAGAAATCCTGCCTGTCAGTCTCATTAATCAAAGCCTTTTTCTTGTAGTAAATTCTAATGAGGTTATAGAAGTTCATTACAAAGAATTGGTTGACAAACTGTTCTGAATGTATTCGGTACAAAATGCCTCCAAAAAAGTGGAGCTCACAGCTAAAATAAAAAGTACGAAATGGCAAAGAGGCAAAACATTGAGCCGACTGTGGGCTTCTTTTGTTAAAAGAGAGTAAAACTTAATAAAAACAGCTAAGCCCCATGTTAGCATAGCTTTAGAGTCATGCTAACGGTTTGTATCTTGAGCTAGCCCCAAGTACGCCCCATCAGTCCCATTTCCTCCCAGTTTGGGTGCTTGTTTTGTTTTTGTTTGTTTTTTTGTTGTTAAACCTACATATTATTGTTAGTCCTGGGTTACAGTAAGGAACACTAAATCCAAGTACTTTTCTCCTTCTTTTAACTTTATCTTTACTAAAACACCACAAGCTACATTTTTTTTGTTTAAATTTCACTAAGTTCTTTGTTTATTACTGAGATTTTAATGAATCTCAGCTGATTTCTTGGTAATGATAGGCTGATAGGCTGAGAGATAGGCTGCCAGATTAGCAGCCTATCTCTATGCTGTTGGAAAGAAAATGAAAATAATAGGTGTTTACATTCTCTGAAGGAGGGACAGGAAAACAGCAGAAAATCACATTCACAGCTGATCCTGAAGAGACTTGCTAAAGTTGAACAGAGATCTACCAAAGTGGGGCTTTGAAGGGAAAATCTTTTATTTACCATTTCGGCTGCTGATTTTTCGGCACCACAGACCAGCAGAGATGTTTTTTTTTCTGTTTTGTCAGTTTGAAAGCACAATAAATATCATCGCTGGTCTGGATCAGATGAATCAGGATCAGTTTATCTAAATCTCTTACCTTCCATCTCTTCTTTATTCCTCCCCTCCTCTACTAGTCAACTACAGTGGTTGTATTTCCTGTTTCTACCTCTACACTTCGTGCATCTTCCTTTTCAAGCATTAACTTGTACATTGACTTCAATGTTGTGACCCTAACTGGCTGGATTAAAAGCAGCTCAAAATGATTACATTTGTTTTTTTTATATATATATATAAATATATATGTTGCACATATAGATTTCCCTGCACAGTGCAAACTACTGTATGCATAAACACATTTTTAATTTCCATCTCATGATCTTTTTATTTGGTCTCAGTCATGTGTAATATAGAGAAATCCAGCCCACTTGTTTTATAATGTTCATTTTTTTTCTGTAAAGCCTTAGTCCTCGTATTTGATTTTATTTTTGTAGACATGATTTTAATAAAAGGATGCATAAATTATTTCCTGTTTTGTTTTAAAAGAAGGGTGAGTTAGCTGCACAGAAGGCAAACACATTTTGGATTTTTTTTTTTTTTTTGGTTTGTGTTCTGAGATTAAAAAGAAGAAACTGGAATAAGAACATTCCTTGTGGGCTTTGATTTTCAATCATATATTTTTAATGGAATGTTTTGTATTTATTTTGCTTTATTCTTTGATTAGCCAGTGTGTCCTCTACTGCTGGCTAATTAAGGAGAGAACCAGGGATGAGCCGATTGCTCAACAGAGCAGAAAATCATCCACAGCGTTGGCAAAAAACTGACATGCACCTTCAAACTAAAAGCTGAATATCTTTAATCGCATCTGGAGATTAACTACTGACAGGAAATGTTTTTTTTTTCAATCTAAGCCTTATCGTATTTTGATGTAGGACTAATTATTTACACCTTCAGAACAGTAATTGTGTTTTTATTTGAAATGATGGCATTTAGCTAAGGCAGCCACTAGAGGGCGATGGTGAATGAAGCTCCAGTCCAACAATGTTGCTATTTCATTGGTAAAGAAAGGAAAATTTAAACATAGATTCGTTATTGCACTAAAGTTAACATTGAATTACATTACAAACATGAAAATAAACATATTCTATATAATAAACAGCAATGTAACAATTATAATATTGATGCATTTATTGTCTCCTGTGTCAGTGGGCTACTTGGTAGAACCTGCTGCAGATAAAGCTTCATGTCTGTCAGGTGTGTATCCGTTAACTTTACACATCTACAGACTGATTTCCTTCTTTTTGCCATTTGTTGTTGCAAAATAGCTCAATTCCAGGCAGATTGTATAATAGGCATCTGGGGAATATATAAGTTCTAGCCTTTGTTGTGGTTTGGACTTCAGGCCCTCTGCCTATACCTGAACCATTGCAATTCTGGTTGTGCTTTTAAATACGGACTTGTTAAGGTTAAAGTGCGTCATTATACGTCTTATTATCCTGTATCTAGATCTCCTTGAACTGAGGCGCGCTCAGACCATGATGCTAACACCACCGTGTTTTACTATTGGGATAATGTGTTCAAGGTGTTGACATATTTCACATCTCCTAAAATGTTCCATCATCCTCTCATCTGATTGATCATCTGCGTATCCCACATCAGTGGTTCCAAACCTCCTCTTCAAGCACCGATTTCCTGGATGTTTTAGGTGTTTCCTAATCACTGGGCTCGCAGTATATGGAGTGATTAACAGGATTCTGCAGCACGACACTGCTGTGGAGGTCAGTTTTTTAATCAGATGTGCAGGAACAGAAACGCATTTTAAACATGGAGGATAGAGGAAACACAGTGAGAAACTGGAAAAAGGATTTATTTGTGTCATTTCACAGTGGAGGTGTTTCCAGATCTTTCATTTGCTGCTTCCACTCAGGTTCTGTGGTTATTTCCTGGTTAGTCTAGTTAGCCCAGTGGTGTCAGACTCCAGTCACTGAGAGCCTCTGCCATGCATTTTACAGATGCTCCAGAAAACCTAAATATACGGTAAATGATTCGCTCATTATCAGGCCTTTGCCATTCTTGATGCAATTTAATAAGAGATAATAGATGATCTGATTGGGCTGTTTGGAGCAGAAATAAACCCAAAGGTTGCAGAGCAACAGCTCTAGACTGGAGCTGGAATTCAATTCAGTTTATTTCTATAGCGCCAAATTCACAACACATGTCATCTCAAGGCACTTTACAGTTCAACCAGATCATAGAGTCAAATTGATTCAAAGTTTTCTATCTAAGGAAAACCAGTTGATTGCATTGACTCAAATACAACCCCTCACACTAAGCATGCTTGTAGCAACTCATTAATCATTAAGTTAGTTGGATGTTCATGTTTCCATGTCACACTCTTTTCCTTTGGACTTGTCCAGTGGTCTGTTAAAGGTTCAAAGCTAGGATAGGCGTAATAAACCGATTATTACCCTGCTTCATACAACCAGCTTCAATTGTGAGCATTGATCATTATGCTGTTTGTTCACTAATGTTCTCTAATAGGCCTGTAAAGCTTTGAGAAAACAGCTTTCAGTGCATCACATCAATAAAACTCTTGTAATAAGTCAAGATTTTAATTTCATTCATCTTCAATTTTTGTTTCCTTTTAAACGATGTCCTACTCATTTTGTTTTATTTTTGTTGTTGCATTAGATCAAATAGTTAACATCATACAGCAATAGTTTTACTTTATTTAAAAAAATGGATGTTTTAGAACGGATATACCCAGGAATGTGAATGAAATTTAGAAAATAAGAAACACAAAAGGAAAACGGCTTTTAATTTGAAAGGCCCTCGCCGGAAGCTGCCTGTAAGCTGTCTATCTTGACTCCTCCTTCACCTCCTCCTCCTCCTCAGCCATGGATCTCCTTCCCATCCCATCTCAGCGGGACTCCGGGACACAACAGATGCGCGGAGCCAGGATGAGGGTTTCAGCTGCAGCCTGTTGAGGCGATTTGGGGAATTTTGCTTTAAAATCTAAACTTTCAGCGCCTAGAGCTTTGATGGAGATCTTTAATTTTCTGCCCTAATTAGAGATCAGAGGAAAGAGGAAACAGAGAAGGGACTTTTAGTCAGGGACTCTTCTGCTGACTGACTCTTTGTGCTGGAGGCGTTTTTTTCTCCTCTTTTGGGCAGTAAGGTAAGAACCATGCAGGATTTAAAGGCACGACTTTAACTCTGTTTGGCTGCAGTCACACAGTCATTCTATATACCCTTATAATTAATATAAATACATCTTACCAGTGTATAAATGTGACTCATTTCAACATTTGTTTAATTTCATTTTCTGTACCAGTTGAGCAAATGGGCTGGCAATAATCTCTGTTTCCTGCTTGAACTCTGTGCGCTTTTTCCTCCCCCTGACTCCTGCGCAGCCTGTGCGTCTTTACGCACCGCAGCTTTAAACGCGCATCTGTGAAATCTGGACTCATTGGTCTCATCAGTGACTTTAACTTTGGGTTATATGAGCAGTTAGCGTTTGGCTGCACCGAGCCGCTCCTCTGCATGCTGGGTGTGTTTGCTTTGTTTAAACCTGCTCCTCTGCCAGTGCCGTCCCTATGGGGGGCTGGTGGGGGGGCAATCCTCCAGCCCTTAGAAACAAATCAGATTGGAACATTTTTTTTGCACAAGTAAGGAATGGTTATATATATTTAAGAGAATAAAGTAAAACAAAAGCTAATCATACATATATGTGTATGTAGGCTGCATCTTTTTCATATATATCTAATGACAGGTTGTGATGGTGTTAATGAGTTTATTTGTTTCAAAGAAAACTGGCTGACTGCTATGGCTCTTAGATCTTCCTTGGGTTCTTCAGAGTTTTTTTCTTTGTTTTTTTTTTTGTTTTTTTTAAGCAAGTAGCTCTTTGCCTGTTGATCTGAAGGTAAAATCTAAACCATTAAGGCTGATTTATGCTCAGAAACCAGGTTGTCTGCGTGTGTGTCGCAGTTAAAGCAGATATGCCTCCATCCCTTCCACAGACACTCTGCTGCACCTCTCCAAAATTGTAGGTAACCACAGACAGGAGGCCTCTGATTGGTTAAATCTACATCCGCTTTACACTATGCATATTTCCTGTTTGGTACCTTACCGGCAGGGGCGGATCTAGAAAAATATTTATGGGGTGGCAAGAGGGGGGCAGGAATTTTTTAGGGGTGGCAACATATGGCATTTGTTTACACTGAATTTAATCACAATTATCACAGTTTGGTGAGAATAGTATGTACAGTACTAGTGTTTCATGTGAAGCAGTTCATATTAATAATACATCGTACAATGAGATCTCACTTAATAGGAGATAGAAGAATGATGACACTACTTCTAGAGGGGCATTATGACAGGAAAGGTATTAAGGTAAGACACAGGTGCTGAGTCTCAGATGTGTGAGATTGACTGTCAGAGAAGCAGCTTTGCAGCATTTGCACAAGAAGAAACTATAGAAAGAAAAAGTTACCTATCAGAGATCTATGGACTGAGCTGTACTAAAGTGAGCATCACTACACAGTAGAAATAAATGGGTCAAGGCACCTGAACAAGGTACTGGACATCTATGTATTGTTTACTCTGAACACACATTTACCCCATTTGTTCCTCAGTAACTTGACATACAGCAGTTAAGGCAACATGAAAGGGACATTTCATGCATGTAAATATGCTGTTGATAGAGCTGTATATGGAGGACCAACTCTGCCATATTTAAAAATAAATACAGAAATAAATAAATGCTCAATAAATAAATAAGCATACAATTAATTGCCACCAAAAATACAATCAACAAATAAATGTAAGTAGAAATTATATTATAATGGCAGGCAGAAATGTTAAAAGGGCATGCAGAAAGAAATAGCGGCGAAGAAATAACTAGGGTAAAAAAATACAAAGGAAGAATAAAACAGACAAAAATATGATAACATGCACATAAATAAATACTTAAAAATATAAGTAATTAAAAAATCAAGTTGAAGATAATAAATGACAAAAAAATAAATAAGGTAAATATTAAAAAGGCAAAGAAATAAATAAGCCAATTAAAAGAGTTATATACCTTTATGACTAGCTGTATAATTTAATTTCTACTTACATTTATTTGTTGTTTGTATTTTTGGTGGCAATCAATTGTATGCTTATTTATTTATTGAGCATTTATTTATTTCTGTATTTATTTTTAAATATGGCAGAGTTGGTCCTCCATACTGCTGTATCAACAAATCAACAAAAAGGCGGGTTCTGTATATTACATCAAAATCTCCACAAATCTGAAAAGAAGCAACATAAAAATACATTTTGCTTGTGAGTAGGTTCATACGGGTCATTTCTGGATAGTTTCATATTATATATACAAAAAAAGAAACAACAACACTGCTTCATATTAAGCAGGATTCACACCAGTATCACATTTTTAACTTTTAACACTTTTGGTTTTATTAAAGGAAATATCAGATTTTCTCAGGTGCCAAAGCAAAATGTAGCAGCTCTGTAAAGGCTCACCAGAGAGCATAACATAAAGTTAACATGACTATAACAGCTGAATGCAGTGATTTCCATGTTGCTCAGCAAAACGCTTCACAAATGTATTTAGATCCAATGCCTTTGTGCGTTTTGATTTGAGTACAACCAAACTTGATAGTCTCTTTTCTGTCATAGTTGACCGCAAATACGTCTTTATGAGCCTGAGACGTCAGGCCTAACTAACATCATAGTTAGAGAAATAACGTTCTCCAACCTGATTTTTATCATCTCAAAGTCAGCATTGCAGCTATGCTAGCAACATTGTGCTTTCATTATGATTTCATTTCTCTATAGATAGTTAATCAGTTTTTACCTGTTTCATCCCGTTTCTCCTCTCCCCATCACCCCGTGCTCCCTCGCTTTGCCCCATTCGGTTTTCAAAACAATCAGTCTCAGTCGCTCTCGTGTCATCTCGTGCTGCATTCACTGCAGTCCGACATTGGAAATTAGCGGTCGTAATTCTCAAATGATCCATAATTTATAAGCCTCGCCACCCCTACCGCCAACTGGGGTGGCAGCTGGGGTGGCAAGGCTGTCATTTAGGGTGGCAGTTGCCACCCTATGCCACCCCAGTAGATCCGCCTATGCTTACCGGCTTGTTTGGTTTGTATGACCATCATTGTGGAAAACGACTCATGAAGATGGACCAGCTAGAAGAGCGAGGTGCACGAGAACACTGGGACCCTTTCTCCACCTGGATCCCAGTTAATTCGTGATTGTCCCTCTTGCATTGCGGTTTGGGATAACATAGCGCAGACGATGCTTCAATAATTGGCATAAATCAAAAATATCTCCAGAAGCTCACTGCGACACACTTCTGCGGGAGGATAACCAACCCTTTAGTGTCCAGCATGTGTGTGGTCTAGAGATGTCCCGATCCAGGTTTTTGCACTTCCGATCCGATACCGATATTGTTTTTGGACTTCCGATCCGATACCGATACTGGCCGATACCAGCCTATCCGAGCATGTATTTAAGTTTAAGTTAAAGTATTTAGCTTTAGTTGTAAGACTCATGTTGAAAAGGGTTTTAGTACTCTTGATAACATCTAGCCAGCTGAATTAGGTGAGATTGAATAAAACACAATGCTTGGTAACAACAAACTTACCTGTTTATTAAGAGATAAACACAAACTGGACGAAATTATGAATAGCAATCTGAAATTGCACAGTGGACAGTAAAACCGTAAACAGTTAAAGGTGCAAGTATTACTGTAAGTTTTAATAAAAATGCAAAACAGGGGAACACTGGTGCAAAATAGTGGAATGGATCGTTTCAATCGGCGAAACTGGAAAATACGCACCGGATTTTTTTTTAAAACTGGATCGGCAGTCTGGATCGGCATTTTACATGCTTTGCCGATACGCATTTTTTTGCCAATATCGGCGTCCCGATCCGATCCACGTATCGGATCGGGACAAGCCTAGTGTGGTCTTCAGAGATGTTAACAGCCATCCTCCTGACTCTAGAGCTTTACAGGATGGAGGGAAGGTCACCTACTGATGATCTTCTTTGCAGACCTGATTTCTTCTTGTTCTCACTGCCTTTTCACCAAGTCAAACCACACAGTGACTGACAAACATGGAGTGATCAGAACAATGCTACTGTAGAAGATGACTTCCTGCTCCTGTTGAAGTTGGTCCTTTTTGAGTTGTAGCAGGAGATACAGCCTCAGCTGGATCATATTCCAAAGAGTGTCTGTTGTTTAAAGTTCAGCTCAGGTGCTGAAGAACCATGGCTCCTGGGGACCAGAGGGGACCCACAGATGGATTTATTTCTGCGTATATAAATGTGTATTTATTTATGCAATGGTGTCAAGTGTCAGAGGTGATACATGATTGGCGGCCCAGCGGGCCCCTCCTTCTGCTCCCTCTGAAAAATCAATATATAGGAAATCATGTATATCCTGGGGGGTGGGATGAAATACACTGCTGCCCTGATAGATTGGATAAAGAGTCTGTTTTCTTTCCAATAAGAACGTTAGGCCCACTCCCTATTACCTGTAAATGCATAAAAGCAATGGAGAAAACTAAAGCCTAATTCACAGGTTATACATCTTTCATTTATCTGGTCCCTTTAAAAATCTTAAATCTAAAAATCTTTAAAAAGATCCCTTTAAAAACACTGAAACTTTTTGTAGCTAAGCATCATTTTTTATTTCTTTAAAATCTACTTTACCAGGGAAGTCTCACTAAGATTGAAATTTCTTCCCATGAGGTTTATTGGCAAAGACAACAGCAGAGCAAACAAGCTTCTAACAACCAAACGCAAGGAGATTAGATAAAAAAAAAAAATAATTTCTCATGAGTCATGTGAGCATATTTTTATAACATCTTTTTTTGTGATTCAGTTTCGTAGTTTAAATGATCAGCGGTAAAACAGCTCACCATGGCCGTCTGTTAAAATAGCTCTTTTTGTTATTTTACAATATAAATCAAACCCTCTTCTTTGTCGTAGAAGGAGACCCTTTCCCCCCCAACCCCCTTTTATCCAGAAACAACGTCATAAAACTTCTGACCTTTCGGTCCCCCCCTTGCACCTCAGGCCACATCTGGCTCTGGACTGTGTTGACAAGTAATCAAAGTTGCTATTTATTGTATTTATTTAGTTTATTATTTAAACTCTGTGTGAAAGGCTTTAAAAAAGAACCACCAATTCTGCTATTAAAGCAGCACCAACATCTAATGCAAAAAACAGTTATTTCCAACATTTTACTTCCTTGAAATGATAATTAGGCTTTCACATTTTTTGACCTAAGTAAGTAACTAATTAGTTATTATATAAGGTATTAATGACAAGAGTTGTAACTAGAGATGCAGATTCCAGAGATAACTTTGGCTGATTTTAGATTATTTTGTTTTTTTATTAACTTTGGCTTTCTAACATAATTTCTATTATTTTAATCAATCTTTTATCTAAGAATAAAAGTAAAACAGTTTTTGTACTTTGTGGATAAACTGAACATTTAACAGTCATTCTTCATAATTAAATGTTTGTAGCCTGATAATGAATGTGTCATTATTAATTAATATATTTATTATTGCTACCAGGACCTTCCAATGTGAGCTCTTTGGAGAACTTTAGCACTGAAATCTCCTAAAATTTGTAAACATTTCATCATAATTTTGTCTGGATGCTTGAACAGCAGAACTAGACTCTTCTAAACACTGAGCCTGGTTCTAATGGAGGTTTTTTTCCTGTTAAAAGGGAGTTTTTCCTCTCCACTGTCGCTACAAGCATGCTTAGTGTGAGGGATTGCCTTTGAGTCAATAAGACGATGCAATCAACTGCTTTTCCTTAGATCAAAACTTGTAATCAATCTGAATGTATGATCTGGTGAACTGTAAAGTGCTTTGAGATGACATGCGTTGTGAATTGGCGCTATATAATTCAACTTAATTGAATTAAATTGAATTAAACAATGTTATAGCAGCAACATGGCTGCACAGAAAACAGTTTAGTTTCTTTTAAACATATTTCTTCTATGATTCGTTTTCTAATGCCTCCACGGAGCACTGCTTGGATCAAATTTCCTTTATAAAATAATAAACTCTTCTCCTCTTTCCATTTCCCTTCAACCTAGCACTTATGCATGATGCATTCACTGACTGAAGGAGGATCTGAAACTTTAGTTTCCGTCAATAAGAATCATGAACATTTATCTGTAATTCAGTTCCATTCCAAACCACTTTATTAATTCCAGACTGAAAAGAAATAAAACAGTTAACAGTTATTTCTATGACACTTTCTGACTACATGTGAGGATCATGCCCCACATTGAGCTAACCCTGGTTTTTAAAGGAAATCAATGCATTGATTGGATTATGAGGAGAAAGCTTGTTGGTTCAATCAATAGGATTTACCTTCTCCTGACTAAAGAGAAAGATGGACACATCTGGTCTCCTTTTTATTCTCTTCTCTACTCAGATATTTGCTCTCTCAGCTGCGCTGTTTCATTTCTGCAGAACATTCTTTTATGTTCGCAGATATTTGACATGTCAAATAGCTCTTTTTTTCTGGTACCAAGCCATAAACACTTCTTAAAAGTGTTTTGACTTGTTAAAAGTTGCTGCCTTTTTTTCCATGACTACATTTAAAATCTTTAAAAAAAAGGCTTTAATTCTTTTTTTGATAGTGTTTGGCAGATAGCTGCAAAGTTCTAAAAATAATCCCCATGTTCCTAATAAGAATGCAGGTCAATGGGTCTCTATCATTAGATCTTCTAATATTTTTCCATAAAACCTTAAATCTCTAATTTTATTGCAATAAAAGAGCTAACCCACATCACAGGGCTGCTAAGGTCAATAATCAGGCGGTAAAGGTCATGAATAACTAACCTTACCTTCTGTTTTGGTGTTTGGTTCATTGTCACTAGATGGTCTAAACCATCAACTATTGTTGTTTTGGACATGTTTGCAGTTGTACTGATGGTTCCTACTTTGGAAAATTAGCCTGGTACTTCTAACATGTACGCTGGAAAAAAATCAAAAAGTATTTTTTTCTTAAAATAAGGGCCTTTTTGTCTTAAAATGAGGAGGTAAGTGAGAATCTTTGCCAATGCAAAAAGACAATTTACATTTAAAATAAGAAAAAAAAAACTATTTCATTATCTAATGACCTTATTTTAAAAGTAAAAATACTCATTCCATTGGAAAATCATCATAATTACCTACTCAGCTTAAGGGTAAATACATTTGATTAAAAAAAATGTTACTTATTTCTAGATCGTTTTTGCTCTGTATCTTACAAAAGCTTCTTGGTTGGAACATAAGTGCAGGAATCCATTTGCCTTTAATATAAGCACTTAGGATCGACTTTTAACAGACCACAGTTTAAAGTGGACTTCTATCAATAGCTAGTACTTTGCTTCTGTTTCATTCGTTTTCTGTCCCTCTCTGTATAAGAGGAACTCGTTAAGTTTGTTATTCTAATAAACTTTGCCCTTTGTAGTTCTTAAGAACATAATTTTATATAAGTTTGAGGATTAGAACCATTTATTAAGAGCAGCGGTGTAAAGTAACAAAGAACAAAAACTTACCAAATATTGTAATTACCTTACCTAAGTGGACACTTTGGCTATCTATACTTTACTGGAGTGATTATTGTTTAGACAACGTGTTGCTTCTACTTCTTACATTATTTTGGAATTATCTCTACTTTCTACGTCTTACATTTTAGAAACAGACCCGTTAGTTTTGTTTCATCTAAGCTCATTTCATTATGGCCTGTCGGTATTTCCATGCATCCATTTTCTGTCACGCTTATCACTGCTGGGGTCACAAGGGGTGCTGGTGTCTATCTCCAGCTGTCTACAGGCGAGAGGCAGGGTCCACCCTGGACAGGTCGCCAGTCCATCGCAGGGCAACACAGACACAAACAGGACAAACTCACACCTAAGGAGAATTTAGAGGAGCCAATTAACCCAATAGTCTTTTTTTGGGGGGGGACTGTGGATCCCGGCACACAGTCCCAAAAAAAAAACATGACTGAACATGCAAACTCCATGCAGAAAGACCCCGGAACACGGAACTGCAAGGCGGCAGTGCTACCCACTGCGCACTTAACAGCCCCTATTGGTATTCAAAAAAAGATAAAAACCATCAAAATAACTTGTTTCATCCAGACAATTAAGTTCTTTGTAGTTGGACTCGGTTTTGCACCAACATGTTGTTCGACAATGCCAAAATAAATGATGATGCTAAGTTAAATTGGATACTGTTACCATCAGTTATAAAACTAAGAATGTTAAGTATAATGAAGTTATCACCCTGAATTGTAGAAATCATTCTTCAATAGGGATTTGCAGCAAAGCATCTGTCCTGATCAGTTTTTCTTGTCTTACTTTTGCTTTTGTACTTTAAGTAGTTTTAAAAATGGTACTTTAACTGGAGTAAAAAGCTTAAGTTGATACTTTAAAAAGTGTTTTTAAACAGTAGGATTTATACTTCTACTTGAGTATTAAACATTAATACTTTGGACACCTCTGATTAAAAGCCTTCTACATGAAGGTGATGAATAGTTTAGCTTATTTGTCAGTTTTAAGATGATTGTTTCTTGTGAAATGGTGTAAGTTTGATTTAAAATGAAAATTGTTGCTCAGATAAAGGAATTATCTTCTAGCAATGTGTTGACAGGAATTTGTTATTTTTCTGCCTAAATAGGTTTCAAAGGGGGAAAAATATTCCACATTTTATTAAAATATATCTTTTTAATTTGATTCTGAGGACAACCTCTGATATTTTTATTTAGGACAGACACAGGAAGCATATACCACACTGATATTAATGTAGCACTTTAGACACCAATCTTTCTGCTTAATGCATATCTGCTGAGCGTTTGCGCCTCTTTGCTGTGCAGCACATCCCTCTGTTAGAGATAATCAACTCCACGTGGAAACCACATGAAATCCCTCAGAGTTAATTGAAGTGTCTGATTTTGAAAGCAGAGACAGCAGGTTAGAGCTCCAAATGAGACAGCACGAGGACAGTGGTTATTACATTAAAAGGCTGGACGGTGAAGTACTGAGAAGACAAGGACGGTCCTGTCCTGATGAAGACTGAGAACAGAAAACAGATTCCAGATAAAGTAGAAAACATCTTTAAACTGAAGTGAGATTCATAGCTCTGGTGAAAGGATTGCCTGTTTTTGTTTTCTGGGGTGTGTAGCCGAGGGATCGAGGAGGAGAAGGAGCGCTGAGTTGTTGTTCTGGTCTCCATGACAACACCCCAGCACCTCCTCCCTCCTTTGTCTTTTCTCACCCCTAGACTCCCATTCATCCCCATTGTAGCTGAGCTGTGTTGCCCTGAGAAACCACAGGGGACCCTTTGGAATGTGACGCTTGTGTTTGGCATCAACTTTACACTGAAAAATGTTAGAAAATATATCAAATGTTGGTTTTTTTTTGGTCTTCCATCTATGGAAATGTAATGTAATAGCAGCTTGTTTGAGATGCTGGGGCCAGAATAGAAGGTGAGATCAAGCTGAGAACACACTCGGGGCCAATGGCCTTATGGTTTCTCATGAAAAAGTCTCCCATAAAGGAGACGAATGGGCTCAGCTATGTCCTGTGCTTCAGACGGCACACAGCCTTTCAACAGAGCGCACGGTGCCAACATTTTCACAATGCTGTCTCTCTTCTTTCTGCTCCTGCTTGGTATGTGCCCCTTTCAAGACAGTTTTACTTGTCTCACATGACAAATTCTCCTCTTCCTTTGCACTTTTTCCTGTCTCCCTAATCTCTCCTCTGTCTCCTGGTTCACACAGTGTGCTCTATACAGCTTCTACATCTTCTCTTCCTCTCTCATCGCTGCTCATTTTCCCGCAGGCCTCCAAGATAGATTCCCTCAGGAGTAAAGTGGAGTTGCTGCGTCTCCCGTTGGTTCTTTCCTCAGAGTCCATCAGCAACCGTAAGAGCCAATTGGGTGTGGTCTGGGAGAAGGGCGGCGGCTCGGGGACAGGAGTGGCACGGAAACTCCCCCCACCGCTGGCCTCCGACATGGACAACGAGTCAACGTATTCGGGCTATTCCTACAAGTCGTCGCACTCGCGTACCTCCCGCAAAAACAGGTAAGGGAGGATTTTTGTTGTTGTTACGTTAGAGTGAGATGCATTAGCAGCAGTAATACGCCACAACCTGTGAAGCAGAGATGTTAAAGAAGATTTAATGCTCAGATTGGACCAAAATATAACTTTTTGACTGATCAATATTGGATATATCCTTGACCAGACTTGTACCATGCTACATGGAGGTGGCAGCATCCTGCAGTCAGGCTGCTTTTGTTTAGAAAGGACAGTTAAACTAGTTAGGGTGGATGCAGCTAAATAAAGGACAATGCTGTGAGAAAACTTGAGAGATATTAAGTTTTAACTTCTAGCAGGTTCTCGACTCTACATAGACAGCCAGAGCTAGAATGAAAAATTAGATTAGAGAAGAATAACCTTAGAATAACCTGGCCATAATAGAGACTTAAAGTCAAATAACATTATGTAACAATACTTAAAGGTAAAGAGGACGATCTTTCTTTGCGGGTGGATCATCATAAGTGTACCTCCTAATTGTCAGTCATTCTGGTGATATGTTTACGTAAGGCCGTCCTACATGCTCGTCCCGTTAGCTATCTTTTTTTGCACATGCGCGCTTTCAGGCTCATATCTGTGGTGAGCTGCGGTTTCAGTCACTGAAGCTCACCTTTCTCACCGTGGTTCTTTGAAAGTGGCAGAGGGTCGTAAGAGAAAAGTGTCTATGAGGTGTATGAGAAGAAAAGAGAAGCCTTAGAAGAGGCAAATATATCCAAAGGAGAGCTCTCCTCATTAAGCATGATGGGATTTACTGTCACAGTCGCCCACTGTCGCCACAGGCTGTCGCTACCTGACAATGGCGACTAATAACAAAGATGGCGCAGGCACGTGCGGTGGGAGAGGAGTTACGTGACCAACAGAGCAAGAAGCAGTGATCATCTGTCCGAATAGTCAGTTACCTGAGTTCACTATAAAGACCACTATATAGTCCCCGCTCTATATAGTGGAGGGACTGAGGGATTTAGGGGTTAGGGCGGACATTCAGTCACAGTAAGCTTGTATGAGCTATGAGAACAGCAACTGTTAAACACAGCGTGCACGGGGAGAAATGGGCTTGTGCGTGCTCTCGCACAAGTGGAGTGGGCGGGTCTTGTTAAAGATTCGCAAAAACCCTCCACAATACCTTAAAAGATGAATGTTTACAAAGACACCTCATCCAACCTGACTCAACTTTAACAAATATTTTTGTGAATAAATATTAAAAATAAAAGAAAGGATGAACAAAGCTGGTAGAATCCTTTAACCACCATGCAGAACTACTGGATGCTTTTAGGGTAATTTGGGCTGTTCTAGATTTACTTTAGGTGTCAGCTGAATGGGTACAGTTGGACATCCTGAGTGATAAACTGTAACCTGTTATTTTTGTTTGTATATAAATAAAGATGCCTTGCCTTAAACAAAAGGTTTAGAAAATAGATTTTTCTCTACAGCAGTGGTTTTCAGACCTTCTGGACCCCGTATATATTTTATGAGTCTCTTGTTTAGCACACCTGTATCAAATGACTGGGTTCCCTTAGTATTTACCAAATACCACCACTTTACAGCATTGGAAGTAGAAGATACAGTGATGGGTTCATCTGGATGTTTGCATTCTATATAATTTCCACTAGATGTCACCAAATAAAATGTAGTTGATCCGCACCTCTGCAGCACAAAATCCTCAATGTTTAAAATGGGATCAAACTACCATGACTTCAGTTTTTGTTCTTCATGGAAGACATTGGAGAAGAAAATCCCAGAGTTAAATAATAATTTCCAAATAGAACAGCTGAGAATAACGCATTTGATGTAAAAGTAAAGAAGAAAAGGTTAAATAGAAGGAAAAAAATTCTCATTTTCAATATTTGTGTGTTTAGATTATTGATGAGATAAAATGTAGGTTTAGATTTAGGTTTTATCTAAATCCAGGCATCACAGCAAACCTTTGGAGGCAAATCATAGAATGATATGTTAGGTCTTTGACCCGACAAAAGTTGAGGTGACTCTAGTTTATAGAACTTCCTGTCTTACAGCAACACAACCTGCTGATAAATGAAAAGTCCTTTCTGTTTTTTTTTAGATTAAAATTACTCTATAGACTTTTTACTCAGGCAGCTCTTGAGTCTATCATGTTGTTTTTATAATACCTTATATTAAGGCTTTAACGTTGTCACTCATTAAAGTTTATTCTACAATAATTTACAATAAAAGGTCACTATAACCTCTTTTAGCGTTTGTTTAATACAAACTTTTATCAGGCATTTTTGATTTTGATCAATTCAGGTTTTTGAATCGTTTTAATGTTACATTTTAATTTCTTTTAATTATTTTTGATTTTTATAACAGCCCTTTTCTAGTTTTGTTTATTCTATAGAAAACAAAGTTCCTCTTAGAAGAAGTGAAAGTTAATTTCTTACTTTAAGTAAGTTTGGATTAGTAATGGATTAGTGTAAATGTAACCAGCTGATTCTGGGTAGGCGAGGTAATCTATATTATATTTCTGATTAGACGTAACGTCTTCTACGGTAGGCCTGAAAGGCAGGAGGGAAAAATAATCTGGAAAACAAAGTTGGAAGGTTTTTTTTTTCTTTTTTTTTTTCTTGTATTAGGCCTATTTTCTGCCCTGAAAGGCAAGTAAAAAAAAAGAAAAAAAAAAAAGAAATAAAAGTAAAAAAAAATACAATTTTGTTTGTTTTTGTAATACTTTATTTTGCCACCAGAGGCACTGGTGTAAAAAGACTTACAGTCACTTACAGCTGTATTCTTCAACTGTATTTTCAGAGAGGACTGGTTTTCAAGAATCAGATTCCCAAATATATTATATATTTTTGTAAAGTAAAATAATATGCAAATAAGGTAGAAAAGCTATGTATTCACTGGCCATGGCACATGGTTATCATATCGACCTCATATTTTTATGAGCACTAAAGAATTATTTGCAGGGATGATCCAGAATATTTGTAGGACAACATCATAACTGGTCTTTATTCGGATCAAGACTGTATTTCCCTGATAACCTTAAACTAAGCCAGGGTCATATTACTGTATGGCCCTGCAGTAACAATTAATGATTACTTTGAAAATACTTGTTTTAAGCTGAAACCTTTATTGGGGAATAATTAACCACTCCTGGCTTTTCCACTTGTTCGATTGTATTTCAGAGAAAGAAGGGAGCGTCATCGCTTAAAGAACCGGGATGGATCGGTCCGTGGAGATAAATCTGTGATGATCCAGGCTCCGGGGGAGCCGCTGCTGGATCCTGAGTCGACTATAGTGGACGACAGGGTCAGATCTATGTATTTTTTGGTGCTGCCTGTGTTGTTCTAGGTGGAAATATCCTCACCTTCACCTCCTCTGCTGTTTCCACAGGATGATAACTGGGGGGAAACTACCACTGTGGTCACTGGTACTTCTGTGGACAGCGTCTCCAATGAGGATCTGACTCGGACCTCTAAAGACTTGGAGGACTCTCTACCTTTAGACTGTCGCCGCTACATCAGCCCTGTTCTAGGAGGCATTTTGGGCCTCATCTCTGTTATCACTCCTTTGGCCTTCCTTGCCCTCCCGCAGCTCCTGTGGCGGGAAACATTGGACCCCTGTGGAACGCCGTGTGAGGGTCTTTACATTTCTCTGGCCTTCAAACTCCTGATCCTCCTCATCTCCACGTGGGCGTTGTTTCTCCGCCCGCCCAGAGCCACTCTACCACGCTTCTTTGTCTTCCGCTGCCTGCTGCTGGCGCTGGTCTTCCTCTTCGTCGCGTCTTATTGGCTCTTCTATGGCGTCAGAGTCCTGGAGCCTCGAGAGACGGACTACAGGGGGATTGTGGGATACGCTGCATCATTGGTGGACGCGCTGCTCTTCATTCAGTACCTGGCTCTGGTTCTGCTGGAGGTTCGACACCTTCGACCCGCTTTCTGTCTGAAAGTTGTCAGGACCACTGATGGAGTCAGCCGCTTCTACAATGTGGGGCATCTTAGGTTAGTATCGGTAAAGATACACTTGACTTATATGTAAATAAAATAAATTCATCCTGCAGACAGGAAAGTATTCACACCTAAACATAAACCATTAACAGTGAACAAAATCTGACTTACGCTGGAAGTTCACCATTGAGGCTTTACCTGAAGGACAGCAGTTTCCACATTGTTAAAGATCGGACCGGCCAATTCTAAACATTTTAATATTTTTAATTCCAAAGGGTGGTTTAGAATAAGATGTTAATAAACCAAAAGTACTGTGAATTAGGGCTAACCCCTGTAGCAGCATTTAATAAACTGTTTGTTTATGTTATTTTTGCTGCTCCCTGTAAATGGAAAATAAAATAATGCACCCAAATGAATTAAATTAACAAAGGAGATCTAAAAAAAAATAATCAACGGGGCTCTCTAAGTATAAAATTCTTGCCAGAATAAGAACAAACAGAAAGGTTCAACCTGGTAACTGCTGAGCTCCAAAAGAGATGCTCTAACTTGTTATTCCTCTCTGGGAACTGAGGGTATTACTAAGAATAGTTTTATATAACAAAGTGACAAAAACATTTTTTGAGTATTGTACTGGTCAATCTAAAGAACTGGAGTATATTTCCTAAATAAAATATAGATATACAGAGATAGAGGAGAAATATAGCTTCAGTCGGATGTGAAAAAGGCTGCATTTATTTCATACTGAACATTTTTATGGATGTTAAGCCAATTTAGTGCAAATAAAACAAACCATGTGATACCCAGATGTGGCTGATTTCCTTAAATGTGCTGATCTAATTCTCAGTGATATTAACCAATGTAGATTGTAACATCCTTTATTCAGTCATCCTGACTTGCTCTTCAGAATTGGCCAATATTTATGCTAAATGTCCTTCCTGCTGCAGCCAGGGTTAGAATAACAGGTTGGTCTATCTCCGTCTGAAACCAAATTAGTTTACAGTTTAGTCTGATTGAGGTCGACTCGGTCCCATTATCTTTTTGATTAATTCTATTTAATATATATTCTAATGAGGGAAGTAAAGAGGCCAAACTTTATTTTTAAAACAGATGTCTAGCTAGCTCTAAGAAGATTATTTATGTCTAAAGGATTCTGAAAAGCTTTTTGATAGTTCCTCTTCAGGCCACCAATAGCATGTCTACGCCTTGATCAGAAATTAGTCTGCAAAACCAGATTGTACTCGGAAACTATATATGCAACAATGAACTTCTACTTAACACGCAGATTAATGCAGAACTTCTTGCCATTTGTAACACCTTTACATGCAAACGCTTTGGCAATTCATCAGAACAAACATCCCTTTTGCACGCTTGCATATAAGCTATCCACTCACATATTGCTTTATCACATTTTTTAAATTAATAAAAAACAAAACTTCATGGGTTCTGATTTGGGGCGTTTAAACAAAGAGATTTTAAACCAGATTGACATTGAAATAAAAGACATCTTGTTGGTACATAGCATTTACGTAAGTCATGCAATCATGGGCGGTTCTAGAAAGAAGCCAACAAAAGCCAACAGGGGCTAAAAGGGTCCTCCCCCATTTTATGGCCCCTGTACTGTAAGCATTACATAAGAGTAAGTATATTTTCCCTTAATTTAAAGAGGTAAGACCATTTGCAGAGGAAATAAGATGATTTAATCTTCATTATCTTATTTCAAGTGCATCAAATCTAATAATTTTATTTTAAAATCAGACATACTCATTCCTTTGGGAGAACATCTTATTTCCCCGCTCAAATTAAGAGCAAATCAACTTATTTGAAGAAATATTAACTTTTTGTCGATTATTTTTTGCAGTGTAATACTAAATCATTATCTAATTATTCCCTTGGACCAATTTAATGTTTCATCTCCACTATTTACCTCCACAATTATTTAGAAATTGCTGTTAGGGGCTGCTTCCTGCTTCATTAATGCAAAAAAAGCAGAAAGCAGCCCCCCACAGATTTCATCTAAAACCACCACTGCATGCATCATCATCGTCATCTTCATTTGCATGCTTCATCAGTGAAGCAGGTGTTTATTAACCAAACTATTGCCTCGTATTTGCAGTTTGAAAGACGCTGCACCAGATTTCCTTGCATTGATCTTTTAAGTCAACATTGCTGCAGCAGGAAGATGATGAAATTTCACCATCAGAGCAACTGAAACCTCTTTCTGAACTGTGCACCTACATCAGTACTGGGAAGAAAAAAAAGAGTTTTAACCGTCCAAGCTAAGCACTACCTACATACAAAGTATTTTAGCTTATAAGTGTAGATATAAGAAATAAAAATGTTTGTGTTTTAAAGTACCTCGTATCCTGTAGTAAAACTGGACTTCCCTGTGACCTCTTATCAGCCTTACCAAGCCCTTTTCTTGCTCTCTGTGGTTTACCATTTCCTCTGACATGTTACTAGTGTGCAGCTCACAATGCTACACTCTGAAACGAACTCTGTTTTCCTGCTGTGCTGCTAAACGTTCATGTTTTCCTCTTTCTGCTGCTATGCAGCATCCAGAGGGCCGCAGTGTGGATTCTGGATCAGTACTACAGTGACTTCCCGGTCTATAACTCTGCATTGCTTAACCTTCCCAAGTCCATCCTCACCAAAAAGATCTCCTCATTTAAAGTCTACAACCTGGAAGAAGGTAACCTTTCCCCTCCAACACACAATAAGTCCTCGCTGGATAACTTTAAGCCAATTTTGTATTAATTTGTCATTTTTAAATCAGTAAATATAATACATGATTCTACTTTATGCTCCTAGAGGCTCTCATTCCTTAGCCGGATTAATTTAAAAGTCTTTTTCTCCAAAAGAGAACACCAACAACTCCACAGGCCAGTCTAGAGCCATGATAGCAGCCGCTGCTCGGAGAAGAGACAACAGCCACAATGAATACTACTACGAGGAGGCAGAGATTGAGAGGAGGGTCCGCAAACGCAGAGCCAGGTAGTTATAGAGATGCATGATGTCTTACTGTACTGATAGACAATGAGTCCTATAGACCTAAAAAGTTAAAGTAGTATCTAAATTCATCTTAATTAGTCATAACTAACCGAAAAAAACTCCACATGACGTGGATCCTGCAATGTTTACTTTCAGACTGGTGGTGGCAGTAGAAGAAGCCTTCACACATATCAAACGCCACCAGGATGAAGAGTTGCCGTCTTCCTCTCCCAAACACCCACGGGAGGTGATGGATCCCAGGGAAGCCGCCCAGGCCATCTTCGCCCCCATGGCTCGGGCCATGCAGAAGTACCTGCGGGCCACCAGGCAGCAGTCATATCACACCATGGAGAGCATCATCAACCATCTGCAGTTCTGCATCACACACAACATGACGCCCAAGGTTAGGAGGCGTGCTTCTTAAGAGCTGCACAGAAACAAGATCTGCACAAATAAAACCAGAAAAAGAAGGACTGAAGTTTTATTTTATATCATACTCTATGTCCTTATTCACTATATTGTCCCACCTTGAGATGCATATAAACATAGATATTTGAATGGGTCGGAGAAACCAAGTTAGCGTTTTTGATCCCTTGCGTACAAATGGAGTCCCCCCCCCCCCCCCCCCCCCCCCCACACCCCCCCCGTCCCTCAGTGAGGTCTAGAAACACAAGATCTATATCCAGCCATTCAGCTAAGATACTGCTACATGACTTTACATCTTATTCTGGCATTTTACCAATTAAATGAGCCCTGATCATATATTACCTATTGGAAATTAAGTTGAAAAATCAAGAGAAAAAGGTAAAACGTTAATTGAAAAGCTAAAAAGTAAAGTTAATAAGCCTAGTTAACAATGGTATTTAGGTTTATAAACTAAAAAAAATGTAAGGGCCCGTATCAGCATTAAGGCCTCTAAGGTTATGTTGTACCAAAAAAATTGTTTCTTTCACCCTCAGAGTGTTTTTCATGAATTTCTCATAGAAGCACATTTGTTATTTTTCTTAATATATTTGGGCCAGTTGGCATTTCTTGTTATTACATTGACATACATTTTTGCCATCAAAATATCCATATTTTTTGAATGTTACAAAGGTAAAAAGGTCTTGTCCTGGATTCCAATAACACTATTGGCTTGAAATTTAGATTTTCAGTATTTCACTGAGGTACCTATGAAGGGTTAAGCTAATCTAAAGGCTACATGAAGTTTAGTGGTCTGCAGCGGCTGACTCTCTGGAGAGTTGGCAATCTCTGCACAAAATGTTTGGCAGCATCTATTGTGCTACCACTTTGTTATAATGATACTAACAGTTGACCATAGAATATTTAGGAGAAAAGAAATTTCACAACAGGACTTGTTCTGGAGCTCACTGACAAAGGTTTCTAGAAACAGTCTGCTTGCAAAAAGGCTTCATTTAATATGCTAGTGGATGTGGGATTGATTAAAGATTTCCTCTTTTGATCTATGCTGCAGACTGTCTGCAACTGAGAAGAAGAATCCATTTTGTACCACTCCAGCTTAAATCAATGGCGTCATTCAAGTTGCAGTATTACTTGCAATTTTGGTTCTGCTTCGGGCTCAAGGCGGAACCAAAATTGCAAGTAATACTGCAAATAAATATGGCAGCGCAGGAGGATATAGGCTTAGCTGCTGCTGTCAAATCTGTTTGTTAAAATCTACAATATTATCTTTGAAAAAGGAGCAGCAAGAACGTAAAAGCGTCAGTTGTTGTGTTTTTGTCACAGCGTCTGCTGCGATTTCAGTTTTTACTGTGATTGGCTAAAACCAAACTTAAGCAGGCTGGCCTTGAGTCGCCGCTTTGCCCAATTAGTTCTGGATGTTCTGCTGAGAGTAATTTCTTTCCCCGAACACATTCAATGGGAGCAGTCCCAGATGAATAATGTATAGAAATAAACCTGAGTGCTACAAATGATCAATGTTTGCCAGGTTGTTTGTAACCTCTTTAAAAAAAGGAAAAATCACAAATCATTTTTGCAATATTAAAGAGTTAAAAGTTAGCAGTCTCTTACAGAATCATTTATTCACTTTTTTTTTTCAAATAGCAACCATGAATGTCAGTGGAGTTTATTGGGATTTCATGTCACCGACCAACACAAAAATACACAATTGTGTTGTATTAGAAAGGGGGATCATCATTTTCAAAATTTCGGACAAAAATAATTTGTTAAACAGCACTAACGCAGATGTTTGCCAGTGTCTCCATTCTGCCTGACCGACTGAGCCGCAGCTGTTTAGAAAAGAAGTTTAATGGTCTATGAATGTGTAAAACTGACACGCAGCTGTAATTAAAACACAAATACATGTTTTAGATTCTTTATTATTATTATATTATTATTATTATTATAATTATTTATCGTTTTCTTTGAAATTTATAATAATGTGCTACTTTGTGTTGGTCCATAGTGTAGAATTGAATTAAAATACACATAAATCTCTTTTTAATGTTAAAAAATAGGTTCCCTGGGTATGAATACTTTCAATAGACATGCTATGCTCAGATTTTTAGGATCCTGTTAATGAATCCATCTTTTCTTTTCCTAAAAGGCCTTCCTGGAGCGCTACCTCAGCCCTGGTCCCACCCTCCAGTATCTGGATAACAACAGGGGGCGCCAGTGGACACTAGTGAGCGAGGAGCCGGTGACAGCCTCACTGCGCCAAGGCCAGGTCTTCTGCCTGAAACGCCTCGACTTTGCGCTGGTCATCAAGGTGATGCCCCTCCCCTTCCTGCGCTTGACTGAAGAGTTCATCGACCCAAAAAGTCACAAGTTTGTCATGAAGCTTCAGTCAGAGACGTCGGTGTAGAAGGACGAAAACAGCTGGACAGAAGAGGAAGTGGAACAATGCTTCTATCAAGACATTTTTTTAATATACCTTTTAGTATTACCATGTTTTATACATGGTTCTAAAGTATTTAGAAAAAAAAAACATTGTAGTTTAAATTTGAAGAAGCCATACTAAGAAAAAAAATAGACTATGGCGAGGTAAAACAAAGAGTCCTTGCTGCCTGTCATAGTCCCTGCTGATGGTCACTGTTCTCTAGTCGTATTTTTTATACAAATGTCACAGAGTTTTGGTGGAAAAATGTTCCTCAGGCTTTTATCCTGATCTGAGTGTTTTTATACTGCATCATCTTTCTTTTTTTATAATTAACACTGACCATTTCAGTCTATGAAGCTGATTCTAGGCTTTTAATCAAATCTGTTGTGCTGAACAGATCCTTGTTCCTTTTTCAGCCATTTTTTGCGCAAATTTAAAAAAGCAGAAATGATCTTTGTAAAATGCTACTGAAAGAGACTGAGACACCCTGTATCTAGTGTTACAGTCTGAAGGAAAGGGCAAAGAGAAATGTCAAAAATGGCTTTCCCAGTTTTGCCTTATCAAATTAGCAGACCTACTTTACTTCCACAGGGAAGTGAATTGACTCTATTTTTACAATATGATATGTTTTGTAATTCATAATGGTTTGGTCAAAGGACTTCAGTGGATTTTTGGTATTTTTAAGATTTTATTCAATGTGTCCATTGCATCTGAATTCTGCACTTTGGCAGCTTAGGTTCACAGTGTGGTTTTGCAAATAAAAGTGTGTCTGTATTTCAATGGTTTCTTTGTGGTTTTTAATAGGTTTGCAGCTTTTCTTGGACTTAAATGCTGCACTCAATCTTTTAAGGGGCTGTGGTTAGTTGTGCTATTCAGCTGCTGTTCAATGGGGCTATGTGCTCTCAAAATCTGACCCATAATAGACGACAACACATAATCTCATTCAGAAAAATGAGGAAAAAAATAAATTTGGACAAGTTCTAGTCCTGGCAGATGTCTCCCCCTCTCTTTATCCTATTTCCTGTCTCCACACTATCAAAAATAAGCCAACTGAGCCTAAAATAATCTTTAAAAGAAAGTAAAGCTAATAGATTTTGCTGGCCAAAAAAAAATAAAAATAACAGTTTAAACCCTTTTACTAGCAAAAAGTTCAAATGCTGGTTTAGTTTAGGCCTTTCTTTTATCTTTGTTGCTGGACTTTACTGGTAAAGGTTTTGTTTAACTTAGGTTGGAGTTTTTCATTAGTAGCAGAGAGGCTGCTAAATTAGTTGAAACTAGTATAATCTGTGACCACCACTCCTGTTTGTCTGTTTTTAAAATTACAACTAAAGACAGTACAGCTAAATAATCTAAAAACACAGAATTCAGGTATTTTTTTTATTACAGGATTGGTTTGAAGCATGATATCTGCAGCACTGTGCTTAAAAGTCATTGTGAATGCAGTCAGTTTTTTAACAATATTCCCTAACTGGAGGAGAGATGTTCGATGTAAAGATAAAACGGAAAGGAAAACAAAATAAAGTAATAAATATAGGGTTTATCGGTTGAGAAAATTAAAGCTAAAGCCAATGCTAAGTATGCTAAGCTGCATGATACTGGCAGTTTGGGAACGGCCATAACAGAACGATAAACCTCTGAGCCACAAACTTTAAGTTGATAAAGATAATATATATATAATCATATAATAAAAATTATAGTTATGAATGTAATTTATTTATACAACATTCAGCAGTCTAATGGCAGTGGGGAAGAAGCTGATACAGAATCTTATGATCCTGCATTGGATGCTTCGAAGTCTCTTCCCGGAAGGCAGCAGGGATAACAGTCTGTGTTGGGGGTGTAATGGGTCATTGAGTCACATTTATATGTGGGAAGGAGATTTTGTTGGCATCTGATGACCCCTGTTGGCTCCTGTCTAGAACCGCCCACGGTTGCATGTCTTAAGTAAATGCTATCTACCAACAATTTTTAAATAAAGCCTTAAATAGCCAAGCTCCATCTTATATCAGAGATCTGATTGTTCCTTATGTTCCTAACAGAGCACTGCGCTCTCAATCTGCAGGTTTACTAGTGGTTTCTAGAATTTCTAAAAATAGAATGGGAGGCAGATCTTTTGGTTATCAGGCTCCTCTCCTGTAGAACCAACTACCAGTTTTAGTCAGTGAGGCAGAAACCCTGTATACTTTTAAGACTAGGCTTGAAACTTTCCTTTTTGATAAAGCTTATAGTTAGAGTGGCTCAGGTTATCCTGAGCTATCTCTATAGTTATGCTGCTATAGGCTTAGACTGCTGAAGGACATAGGAATCCCTTTTTTCCTCATTCTACTTCATTTTATTTCTATTCTCCCACTCTGCAAATTTTGTTAGTTCAATCTCTAGCTGTATGGGTGGGACACCATGCGGGGGACAAATATCAGCTGGACTACTGCCATAAATACCTTTGTTTGTAGATGTAGGAGCTGGGCCTGTTTTTCAGTGTAGTCCTGTTCCTCCGACATTGGAGCTGGCTTGGAGCTCGTCTGCCTTGCTATGTGTTTCCTGGACGGGGTCGCCTGTAAAGCTGGTTGACAGTTGCCTTTTTATCTCTACTTCTTTCTGTATATCTGCTATGTCTGCTTTAACCCCAGTCGGCCTCGGCAGATGGTCGCTCACACTGAGCCTGGTTCTCCTGGAGGTTTCTTTCTGTTAAAAGGGAGTCTTTCCTCTCCCCTGCCGCTGCAAGCATGCTTAGTGTGAGGGATTGCCTTCGAGTCAATGAGTTGATGGTTTTCCTTAGATAGAAAACTTTGAATAATTTTGACTGCATGATATCGTTGAATTGTCTCTGTAAAGACCCTTAAGATGACATGTGTTGTGAATTGGTGCTATATAAATAGACTGAATTTATATTGAAATTTTTAAGGGTTTATATGCAGCAATTTGCTGTTGATCTTAATGGACAGGAGGAGGGTGCAAATATTTTAAGTGAGTCAATACTTCAATTACTCTATTGACAGAGGAGCAAATGCGTTGTGATGCTAGATTTGACTGTTTCTGAAGTAAACACTTCGATCCAGGAAGCGATAAGAATCTATGAGAGTGGCTAATTTGATCATTTTAGAACAAGATGACATTGAACCAAAGCATTTGTGATGGGAAGTGACAGAGGCCACACCTCACCTCCCTTTCTTTAGTCACTTCATCAAAATATGTTACCTAATATTCCAATTCATTGTTTTTCTCTTTCATAAGCTAACTTCACAAAAAAAGAAAACTTTCACAAGATATTACACAACACCTTATATGACCTTTTTTGAACCCTCTAGGGACTTCAGTTCAAAACTGAGTTTAAAAAGTGTGACTGCCTTTATTTATTCAAAGCAGCAGCACCGAAGATAGTAGTTCATTTATCCTCATTTCTTTGCGCAAACCAACCTTCCACCATGTGGCAGGAAGCTGTCACAAAGGAAGTTAAACAAGGAAACTAATGATTCATCTTAAATTATCTGTGAAGCACTGAATATAAAGATAGTTTCTTAGATGGTGCTTCTTTACCAAGATAATGCAACTTAATACTGCATTGCAATTTCTTAAGAAGTTCTAGGGTTAAACCTTTTTAGACCTGGTTTTCCACTCTGTTGACAACATAAGTTATTCTGAAACTAACAGCTTTGAAAACATTTTGGAGAAGTAAGAGAAGAGGAAGTGTGTAGGTGGGGCTCTCAGTATTGATGGTATCACATGAGGCAGAACTTAACCTTTCTTCAGTTTTAAAATATACTGAAGTAATTTCAAGAGTTCTAAAAAGTAACTCATTTTAAATATCACTGTTATTAGGGTTAAACAACCAGGCAATGATCCATCTTTGAACTTTTTTTTTCAATATAAAGCTATATTGGTAAATAAGATGTACACTACATTTATGGTGCTTAAACCCTACAAAGCAGTTTGATATATATTATACATAATAAACTAAGTTATCGTTGTTTTAGAGTCTGGGTAATCAGAAGTTACCAGTTAAGGTAACTGCAAGCCTAAAGCTCCAAACAACTTAATTTACCCCACAAACACTAATTCACACCCTCCTGAGGAAGATTTCTGATGAAACCAAGTGTGTTTACTTTTATACCTTAGGTTAGTATTAGTGTCTAGTTGATGTTAACAGTTTTTAATACCGGTAGATGTTTTATTAGAAAGACAATCTTGTGACAAGTGGTGACATGAGTGTGACACATTTCAAAGAATTACAAAAATAGTCCTGATAAAAGGAAGTTTAAAATGTTAAATGTGTGAAACGCAAAGGGACGGTTTTCGTCTGGGGAAGTCGTTGCTATGCATATGTAATATAAAGGAAGTTGAACAGGGAAACTTCGTTCTTCCTATAAGCGATCGGTTATACGGCACAGAAATGAGATTCTTTATCTTCTTTTTTCTGACATTTCAAGGTAGGTAGGCTTAACAGGTTTTTTTAAATGTCATTTCTCAAATATATGTCAAAGAAATATTTAATAATGATTCAGAATAAAAAGGTTAGACATACGGAAGTTGAATTGTGAAGCTAACCTTAAATCTCGTGATGTCTGGGCTTACTTGCTTTGATATTTTCATAAGTGTAGTATGACTGCCTTTTTGAAATAGAGGAAATAATTTGCCGATTAAAAAAGAGAAAAAATGTTCATATAATATGATTTATCTCTTGTTTTCCATGTTAGTCGTATCTTAAAATCATGTGTCAGTGTCTAATTCTCTTTCAACCATGATACTGTTCTTCATTTTCTCTGTGGGTGAAAAAGTGTTGTTTTTTTTTTGTTGTTGTTATTTTTAACTTCAATGCTGGTCCAAATCATTATTGATAAATGCTAAGATTTTTGGAATTGAAAAAATGCTCTCATAATGTTTTGTTCTTTTAAATATTTTTTGATTAAGGTCATTTGTCACTAAACATCCGATTTAACAATCACATTCAAAACCCATTAAAAAGTGGAAGGGGAAATAATACACAATTTGGGAGTCATTTAGACAAACAAAAAATCTGAAAAGTGTGGCATACCTTTTTATTCGCCCTTTCAACATCAATACCTCGTGGAATTGCCTTTTGATGTGATCATCATCTCAACCGTCGTGTTCTAGCCTACGAGGGAAAAGTGCTTCTACATTCTGTTTTTCGATGTTATTGAGCTAGGCAGACATGCTGACACATATTGAGCGAGGATATTAGATGTCTTGTCTGGAAGGATACTTTGAGATCTCCTCACCAGGACCACACGCCTTCCCGTGGGGAGAAGAAGCTGGGTGCTTAGAGGGCTGGATTGTCCATCACTACAGGCCAAATGTTCATCAGGAGGTGGTCAATACTCCACGGTGGCAAGGCTTCGGCAAGTTGGTGGAAGTGATCCGTCCTGAGTATCTTCAAGCTCTGGATGTTGTGGGCTGTCTGGTGACACATCTCTTCAACTCGCGTGGAGTCGGGACAGTTCCTGGATTGCAGACTGGGTGGTGTTCTCCGAGGGGACCGAGGTTGTTCACTACGGGGAATCCATTCTCAGCCTCCCGGAAAGGCTATGCCAGGTGCTGGAGAGGAGTCGGCCATCATTGGAGTTTAGGCTGGAGTTGGGGGCGCCCTTATTAGGGGGCCATCCATCTTCTCTGTACAAGCGGAGCAGAGTCTGGTTCGCATGCCGCATTAAGTCGGACCTGTTCCCGGTGCATGTTGGACTCCGACAGGGCTGCCCTCTGTCACCGGTCCTGTTCATAACTTTTATGGACAGGATTTCAAGGCGCAGCCAAGGACCGGAGGGGGTCTGGTTTGGGAAATAGTGAATAGTGCTTTTTGCAGATGACGTAGTTCTGCTGGCTCCCTCCTGCCAAGACCTACAGCGTGCGCCGGGGTGGTTCACAGCCGAGTGTGAAGCGGCTGGGATGAGAATCAGCTCCTCCAAGTCCGAGGCCATGGTTCTCGACCGGAAAAATGTGGCTTGTCCCCTTCAGGTTGGAGGAGAGTCCCTGCCTCAAGTGGAGGAGTTCAAGTATCTTGAGGTCCTGTTCACGAGTGAGGGAAGAATGGAGCGGCAGATTGATAGACGGATCGGTGCGGCTGCTGCAATAATGCGGACGCTGCACCGGTCTGTGGTGGCGAAGAGAGAGCTGAGCGAAAAGGCAAAGCTCTCAATTTACCGGTCGGTCTTACATTCCTACCCTCACCTATGGTCATGAAATTTGGATCATGACCGAAAGAAAGAGATCCCGGATACAAGCCGCTGAAATGGGCTTTCTCCACAGGGTGGCTGGGCTCTCCCTTAGAGATAGGGTGAGGAGCTTTGTCATTCGGGAGAGGCTCAGTGTAGAGCCGGTTCTCCTCCACATCGAGAGGAGTCAGTTGAGGACATCTTCTTCGGATGCCCCCTGGACGCCTCCCCCGGGAGGTGTTTCAGCCATGTCCCACCGGGAGGAGGCCCAGGGGACGACCCAGGACACGCTGGAGAGACTATGTCTCTCGGCTGGCCTGGGAGCGCCTAGGGCTTTCCCCAACAGAGCTGGAGGAGGTGTCAGCGGAGAGGGAAGTCTGGGAGTCTCTGCTTAGTCTGCTGCCGCCGCGACCCGGTTCCGGATAAAGCGGGAGACGACGAGTACGAGTACGAATCTAGGCTCGTTTGGAGAAGCTGGGCTGCTTCCAGTATCAATGCTGGTTATAAATAATTGATAATAGAGCTTGTTTTTTGGTGCTTAGTTTCAAACCCAGTTTTCAAAGTCTTCTCAACAATCTGAAAATTACAGCTTTTCCCTTTTTTGCTTTTCAACCCAATGTAAACATTGTTTGGAAGTAAATCATGTCCTTGTTTTAATGTCTTTTAAACCAATTTTTGCCCAGTGGGTCCTCCCACAACACCAGGTGCCATGTAGATGTTGGTTTTTAGGCTAAATCTGGTTGGTCATTCATAGTGTTGATTTAGTCCAGAAATTGGTGTTGAAAGTTGGACTGTGTTGGGTTGGTCGGAATTGTGTCGGTCTACACATTTTTTTAAGACCTCCTAGACCTCCTGAGGGACTGGGTGGGTGTTAGGGGGACTGCTCTGCCGTGGTTTAGATCCTACCTGTCAAAGAGGTCTTTCTTTGTCAGGGCGGGGGACACCACGTAGCCATCTGCCCCACTTTATTGTAGAGTACGTCAGGGTTCTATCCTGGAACCTTTATTGTTTGTGCTTTAGCACTTCCCTCTCAATGAGAGTTTTACTAAATATGGTATAGAGTACCCATTCTATGCAGATGATTGTCAAATTTATTTGCCAATTGATAAAAACAGCCACTGCCCCATGAAACCCCTACTTGACACTCTGGCTGATGTTAAGGCTTGGTTATCAAACCATTTTTTTTTTAAAACCAAATGAGAGCATAACAGTGGTGATGGTGTTCGGTAATGCCATCTCTGACTTGGGATCTTTCAAGGATTTTGTACTTTCCAAAGTAACCAGCCTTGGTGTCACTATAGACAGTGACTTTAAACTGAACAAAAAAGTAAGCAGCGTTTTAGAATTGTCTTATTATCATCTCTGTCTTTTATCTAAGGTAAAACCATTTTTATCTTTTAACCTCTTTGAGCAGGTTTTGCACTCTTTTATTTCTAGCCGTCTAGACTACTGCAATGCACTTTATTCAGGTTAGCCAACAGGCCCTCTCCCGTCTGCAGTTGATCCAAAATGCAGCAGCTCGTCTTTTAAGGGGGACCAGAAAACATCAACACAATGCACCAATTCTTGCGTCTCTGCACTGTTTGTTTTAGAATTAATTTTAAGATTTCATTGTTTGTGTTTAGAGCTCTGAATGGGATGGCTCCTCACTACATTACCAACTCCTCTAGATTTAATCTCCAGCAAGTTCTCTGAGGTCTAAGGGGCCATCTTTAGCTAACAGTGCCTAAGACAAGGCAGAGGGGACAGAGCCTTTTCTGTAGTTGGCCCCAGACTTTGGAACACTTTGCCCCTCCATATATGAACAGCCTCCACAGTGGAGTGTTTTAAGTCTCATCTTAAGGCCCACTTTTTGTACACGGCATAATTGTGTGGTCATCTGTGTCCTTTTTATTTATTTACTCATTTCAAACTTACTGATTTTTTGTGTGTGTTGAGTTCTGTTTGTTTGTTTTTCTGAACAGCACATTGGAAACATTTTTTGTTTAATGTGCTGTATGAATAAAATGGATTAGATTGGATTCTCATCAGCTCCTTCAGGTCAGGCAGTCACACTTTGTTCAAGGTGGCAACTTTTTGGGGACCAATCATTTTCTGTGACTGCACCTTGACACTGAAATTGACATCCACTATATTGGTGATTTATAAGTGAATATTGATTTTGAAATTAAAGCTAAACAGTGCTGCCAACTTATTGGTCTTTTCACTACTTTTAGTTACTCCAAGACATATCTATTGCAAAAAAGCCCCTAGCGCCAAATCTAACAACTTTCTTCTGTGTTAATGAAGACTTTAGAGACAACACATAAAATCACTGAACTCTGTCCCCCTGAGCAATTAGCGAGTGGATCCTATAGCTTGCTTCCTGCACTCTGTCCTTTTCACTTTCTGCTGTTGTTCATACAAGACAGGCTGCATGCATGCTGCAGCAGCAGAGAGATAACCTTTCCACTTCAAATACAGCATGTGTAAAGCTGCTGCTAATCCAGCACTATACTGCAAGCTGGGATTTTTGAAAATACTTTTCTAACCAGAATGGAGTTTGGAACTAAATAGCTGAGTTCTTTTTTATTTTTATTTTTATTTTTTTTTACTTATTTCTACACTGGTTATTACTCTTACAATCCACAACTTTTCCCTTCCAACTATCCTAATATCTATGTGCCCTGCTTTGATAGACATCCCAAAAAAAATGGAATTGAATCTCCACTGGCAGCTGAATGACATTAAATAGGCAAATTCAACAATGACATCATCTAGCACCTTTAAGGACAGCCAATAGGAGCGCTTCTTGCTGAGGAGTTGGCAACAATGAGGCTAAAGGGAAGTGAAGCACATGGTTCAGTCCAATTGAGGCAGCCTCAACCACAGTTTTTGCCAACCACAGTATTCCGTTCAACAGTTTTTAACCAGATTTTTTTTATTTTCTCACCCTCTGTGTTTTTTGTTATATATTGACTTTGTTCAACACTTCAGTCCTATTTATTGTTGATTGGGAGAGTGCTTTACAAATAAACAACTGCCTAACTGAATAACCTGACCACATCCTCATGCTCCGCATATTTGTTCCGTCTAACACATGGCTTCTGACTTGTGGCTTCTCATAGATTTGTCACAACATCTGCTCTCCTGTTTCCACTTGTTTAAAGTTTGGATTTATAGTAAGAGATTATATTAGATTGTGTCAGTTCAGGTGGAGTGCTAGTTCTTGTTGTTTTTTTTCAGATTGCTGTGCAAACCAATGTTCGGTGAAAGCCTCTGAGTCTTTTACAGCAGCGGTCCCCAACCGTTTTTGCACCATGGGCCGCTATATGTCAGACAATATTTTCACGGACCGGCCGGGGGGGGGGCATAAAATCAAATAAAAACAGCATAAAAATAAAACAACAAGCCGGTCCCATCTAGGTGTAATCGGAGAAAATGACAGACGAAGTGTGCTCCTGATGTCCAGTCTGTTCCGTAGCTTTGTTTTGGTCGCTGTAACCGCAGAAAATCTCTCTTCACAAAGATAGGATGTTATAGATAGGATGAGGCATGAACTGAATTAACCTGTGTCAAGAGGCACAGATGCACCGACTGATGTAATTGGTAGAGAATACCGCAATTTTTTATAAAAAAAACATCACTCAGACTCTGATCGTCAATAAATTATATATATATATACACTTTTTTCCTGTGCGACCCGGTACCAAATGACCCGCGGACCGGTGGTTGGGGACTGCTGTTTTACAGTATAGCTGAGTTTATACTGAGATTATGAAATTGAAATTAATTGAGGCCTTTGAATGTAGCATGAAAAACTGTGAAAAACTGAATTAAATTATTTAGCAAAGGCCCGGTAACTACTCATATATTCAAAACTTCTTGGAAATATTTAACCATGCCAACCTGAACCCTAAAGACCTAATTTGAAGTCATACTCACAACCTGTTAAGTACTCAAACTCTGAATTGGACGATGTCTCAACAGGTCCGTTTGTTTTCAGCTGTCTTTAATTTCCAGAGACAAAACACAACCGTGTCATGGGCAGAGTATGCAATTCTGAAATTCTAAACAAGTATTGTCATAGAAGTTTTTTTTTTTTTTTTTTTTTACAAAATCAGCACTTACACTAGTTGCAATACAGCTTTAAATGTTTTTGGCTTTGACAGTTTGACCTGTGAAACATTTAAAAAATAACCAAGCTAATACTGTCAGAACTTTGGACCCAGAATTTTAGGCAGACAGACTGAGGTTATCTACAAAAGTGTTTATTGACAACACGTCGAATCTGTGACTCGAAAGATGCCGGAATCTTTGGTTTTAGAGTTATGTCCGAGGGGGGAAAACAGCTTAAATAGAGGCAGGAGCAGGTGGATGAGATGAACAGCAATGAGAAACCAGGGATGCCAGGGATGAGTGCCAAGATCATGCCAAAAACTTTAAGCACAATCACAATTATATTAAACAAGCTACATCTGGATGCATTTAATTATATTTTAAATTTGTTTTCTATTTCAATGTTTATATATGTTGACAATAACACAATCTGATGAAATGAACGGCACATTGTGCAAGTGGGAATCAATAAAACGATTTTTAGCAGTTGAAATATTTACATTTATTAATGTATTTCTAATTAGAGTTTATACTGCTTTCAGAGAACAAAATCTTAGTTTGCACAGCTATAAACCAATAGCTTTTTCTCACTTTTGGCACTCCATGGAAACATGAATATGAGATTATGGCCACTGAGTTTCATGATGGAATGAAATTAATATATATACAGTAGTTCCATAAAGAATATTCCTGCAGACATACTATTGTTACCTATGCTAGTGTTACAAAGTGGCAAACTAGATTTTCATTAAGTTATATTAGTAGGATCTCTCAAAGTCTTCTATTAGGTCTGAAATGATGGAACAGAAAAACAACACTGCCTAAAGGTTATTACAGCATCACCTTCTTTTTGCTGTTTTTATTTTTGATTGAACCACCATTATTAGTTTTGCTAAATAATCTAATTCGAGTGAATAGAACATTGAAAACTAACACAACAGATGTGTAAAATTCTATATCAAAACTACTAATGTTGTACAGGAAAGCCTAATGCTACCCCATGATCTGGCTTTAAAAAAGTGGCATGTTGTGACTATTGAACCATCGTCATCGTCTTGGTCTTGGTTGGTCTTGAATTTGCTTTGTTATGGTTAAAAGGTCAGGTAGCATATTAAAAACACATGTCTGTGAGGAATATCTGTCGCAATCCAAGACACAGTTGTGCGAAACCTGCAAATTATAGCCCATAATTATTGCCAGTTTGCAGCCAATTTAACCTGGAGAGAGTCACACAGTAAAAAGCTACAAATAAAAAAGAATTACATTTATTGATACAGGTAGCACAATCATATTCTTCAAAAATATTTCTATATAAGGAAAACCAGCTCATTGCGAGAACTAATTAGCACTCTGCAATCCCTTACCCTCTTCCAAATTGAATTTTTGCTTAAGCTTCATGAGTCAACAGGCTAGTAAAAAAATCAACTTGACCACATCTGGTACTGAAATTCTGGTTTAGTAAAGATGTTTAAGTATAGTGGTGTTATTTTGCATGTATGGGCATGACAGATATCAATGCTAAGATGAGCCAAAAAGCAAACCTCTCTGGTCCAACAAATACAAATCCTCTATTTATAGCAGAGAGACGTGGATTCCAGTTAAAGAGCAAGATTCCTGCTTGCTAAGTCTCCTCTTGGTTGTGGTAGTTTTGGTGGTTCCTGGTATGGCTAGATAGATAATTTCATGGCTGGGATTTCTCCCTTTGACTGCCTTGGTGTTAACTAAATATAACTCTGCACTTAATTGTGACAACTTTTCTCTTTAGGAAAGGCTGATAATCGAGGTCCAGAAAGTAAAAACCCAGCCTTATTGTTCTTCATTATGTTCACTTAACCAGCTGATAAGGCCTAGGCCTGAGAGCCGGAAATGCAAATGTTAAAAGTAATCTCTGTAGAAGCTTTTTACTTTCTGAACTTGGATTATCCATCTCTGCTCTTTATAAGTTTCTTTTATGGATAAACAATGTTCTTTAGACTCTGTTTAACATTGAATATATTAATAATATGGTATTATATTATTATATTTAGTGTTGCACCAATGCCATGTTTTGGGCCCGGTACCGATACCCGATACCTGGCTATGCAGTATCGGCCGCTACTGATACCATACCGATACCATCTGCTTGAAATTGATGTGTGTGTGTATATGAAGAACTGCATACTACCTGGATGTAAAATAATTGCCATCATGGCTTTGTCAACCTGCTGCCTACCTTTGTGAAGCAGGAAAAAGACTAATACAAAGTGAATCAAGTAGAACTTTTTATTGCCTACCTGGAATGGGTGACAATAGTTGAATAAACTTTTGGCTCTCAAAATGGTATGGGTGCCTCATTTGTTGGTACTCGCAGATACCACCATTTTAGTGCAGTATCGGTATCGATACAACACTAATTATATTATATTATTATATTATAAATTTGCTAATTAATATTATATTAATATTATTCAAATATTATTAATGATATATTGAATAACATTGAACATATTACAATTTTTATTGTATAAAGGATGGTGGAATGTAACGCTTTGATATAAATAGGCTCCAAAAAGTTAGGCATAAGAACATATATGACAAATAATTTGCCCAAAGAATATTGATTTCAAATACGTAATTCCGGGTCGGAATTTGGTACAAACCTAATCAAGGCATTATGATGGATCCAACCATCTTTGTACTAATGATTTCGGCTGATGGGGATAGTATAATGGTGTGAAAGATTTTTTTTTTTAGCACATGTATATCCTTAGCTTGTGTAAACACCTCAGACTACCTGAGGATTTTTGCTAAGCAAGTACATGTCTTAAAGGCCCTCATACACCCATATTTTGATGGTTGCCTCCAGCAGGTTAATGTATCATATACAAAGCTCTGATTACATCAGAATTATTGTTGATCATGTTTGTGAGTGCACTGTACTCCAATGTCAAACAAAGTTCCCAAATCTCTTCCTACTGGAGCAGAGCTGCACATTAAAAAATATTAGTCATATTTCATTTATGATATAACTGCTTACTTTCTTCTTCCCTTTCTTCCTCTTGTGTTCTTTCTAAACTCTGTGACATTTAACATGTTAATTAATGCAATATGTGTTCTATGTGAGCATCTACCACCAAAAGACTCTGTTCAAGTGGATAAAAATGATAAAATATGCAAGTCTGCATCAACACTGTGATTGATAAAATATAATGTCGACGTAAATCAAATTCGGTGGGAAATGTACCCAATACTTAGTTAAATCTTTTCCAAAAAGAATTTAGTTGCGTCCCATGTGCCTAACCAAGTGTCTGAAGAGTGGGTGTTGCTCATTTGTTGGATGAAATAGAAAAGCTTTTTTAACGAATACAGAAACTGAGGGATGTTTGAATAAAGACCAAGGAGTGATTTTTAAGTTAAGAAATGTGTCCCTTAGAATAATGTATAGATAGGTTTGATTTGTTTCCTTGTGGATAGAGATTATGTTGTTTACTTTGGTTTGTCCCTGGGAAGGTGATACCAAAGATAATGTTTTTGCTTTAAAATGATTCAAATTGGAATTGATGAAATTACTAATTATACACCAACTTCATAAATACTGTTTCACCAATTGCTCTTTTCTGTTTAAAAAAAATTCTGAGATATGCAGACGAAATGGCCTGCATTGTTTTCATGTTCTTAACCAACACATCCTCACTAGCAACTCGTAAAATACCAACTACTGACACTTGGCCTCTTGTCATATATTGACAGGAAGGGAAAATGGCAGATTGTAGACATTTTATCACATGTCCAAGAACAAATACTTTTTTTTTTTGCCTACAATGTTGGTTTGGCAGCTTTAGAAGGCTATGGTAACATGTGTACTAGTGTTTCTTCAGGCTTAGAGATTTGGGTTAGTAGGAAGTTTTACTTTACAGTTCATTGAAAATCTTTCATTCCATCTTTCCTGCCACTATCTGTCGTGCACGCTGTGCATCAATAAATGACCAGAGGGGACTTTGCCAAGAATTAATATTGAAGACTTAATAGTGAGACTGTATTGTCAAGGAAATGATCCATTAAGAATGTTTGTATTTAGAAAAGCTTTTAAAACATTGCTTTTTATTGTTTGCCAAGTAAAAAGTAAAGCACATGCAGCTTCTTCACTGATAATTTTTTATCTATTCCTCCAGGGGTGATGGTTGAGGAAATCCAAATCTCAGGGTACATAGGTGAGAGTGTTACATTGCCATCAAAAGCCGACCCATCCTGGGTTTTATCCAAAGTTGACTGGTCAATATTCACGAACAACACCTGGATTGCCACCTTTGACAACGGCAAAATAAATACTGAACGTCGTGCAGAATACAAAGGGAGGCTTACTCTTAATAGCATCTCAGGTAAAATGGAAATTATATTTTGACACAATGCAAAGAAATGTTCATTCCTGTTTACAATGTTTTGTCTCTTGACAGGCGATTTAACCATTTCTAACCTGACCCAAAGAGATGCCATGACTTACACTGTAGATCTCGTCAATAAAAACAATGTGGACAAAGTCAACAAGATTATTCTAACTGTGAAAGGTAATTGTTGAGGGAAAACAGTTTCGCCTTTTTTGGCCTATTTTAATTTGTCATATTTATATTTTTCTAAACATCATCCTAAGATTCCTTGTAAACTTTCTTATAATTACTGCATTATTTCACATATTAATGTGATTTTTGTTTTGTTATGATAATAGGTTCAGGTTAAAAAAAATCAATCTTTTAATTAATAATTGCAGAACACCTTCAGCAACCAAATATCACCAAGATCCATTTTCCAGCAACAACAGAAGGCTGTACTTTCGCCCTCAAGTGTTCTTCTCCAGATGTTGGTGTTGATTTCACCTGGGATGTTAAACCTTCACGTCGTCATTGGAGCAGTTCCCAAACTGGTGCGTCAGAGCTTGTAGTATTATCGTCAAGCTTTGTAAATGTCACCTGCACTGCCAGGAGAAAAGAGGAGAACAAAACAGCTGTTTGGCAATCAAATTGTAACGGTGAGTGTTTATGTTGGGACAAGAGTTCCCAAACTTCTCATGCTGCAGCACCCCAAACACCTTTAGCTTCTGGCTGAGGATCCTCCTTTGTAAAAATACAGAAAAGGATACAAAATATGTATAGAAAATTTAACTTTTACAATAGTTCCTTCTTACTTTGTTTCAATTTAGATGTGATTATGCTTGTTAAGCATACGAGTAACAACTACATTTGTTTTGACAGTCTATTATATTCCCATTGAATAACACACTTTTTAAACATAAAAGAAAGAAACCTGATTTTTGGTCAGAGCAGGCAACATTATTTGCACAATGTATGGAAACACACAACATACTAGTGGATATATGCACACATTGTGTTCTTTGAAAAAAACTTAAAATAAAGGGAGAGCAAAACTTGAAGAGTTAAAGGGCTTCTTAAGCACCAAGTAACGGATCATATCATCAGATGTATTATTTGAAATTATGCAGTCAAGCAGAAAAGAATATACATTGTGCACCAAATGAAATAGACAAATATAAAAGAAACATTCTTGCAGACGAAAAACTTTAAATCTATTTTTCAAAGTAAACCTTATGTAGCGATTACTAATTTTGTTCAATGAAGTGGGTCATGTTGGATAGAGTAGCCTGAGATTTTATTCAGCTAAAAGTATATATACTTTCCAATTATATTAGTCACATTTTTTATACTTGTATCTTTAATAAAGTGATAATATGGATAAATACAGTAAAGCTACTTCAAACATGGTGACTTAAGTCATAAAAGTAGTTGCTACCCAACTCCACCAATCTTTCACTGACACAACATCAAATAACTAGAAAATTCCCCAAGGCAATTTTGGTGGTGCCTGCCACTTGGTTTTGTGGCAAAGCCAGGGTGGCACCAAAGATGTCATGTGGTTAGTTGAGTTAACCTGAGATCGGGTAATAGCATGAAACCATGTGATGACATACGTTACCATGCCAGGAGGAAACTTGGTTGTTCAGGCTTGATGGCCACTTGAGTCACCATACCTAGAGGCGACCAACGTCAAACAGCTGTTGGCGACTGGCATCTCCAAACCTACTGCTGACTGACGTGGCCAGACCTAGTGGCGACTAGGTTCATAATAAAGCTCCCTATAAAACAATAAATTGGTGATTATACTATTCAGGCTTTTATTTTGTAGAGTATCTTGTGTCTTATTTTGAAGGACAATCAGAGCTGTGTCTTTAACATAAGGGAATCTATTTACGATGGTTTAATCTATTTTTCTTTATATTAGGTTAGTAGATGCTCCATTACAGCATAATTGGGAGAGCTTTATTTTTAAATGTGCACAAAAGTGTGTTGTGAAGGAAAAGGTCAGACAGTGATATGGAATTCATCTCAAATTGTTGAATCACTCTCTCTCCATGTTATTAGGTCAAAAGCAGATTTATTACAATAGAAATGGGAAATATTTATTGGGAAATTTGCAGTGGGGTGTGTTTTGAAAATACTTCTTTAGTCTGAATAAAAAAGCTGGTTAAGTTTGGGTCATAATGATGAGCCACATGGTGCAATTAATATGTCTATAATGTGAGGCTTTTGTTTCTTAGAGTCCCTGGAGAGTTACTGTAAAAGTCTCTTCCCAACAATTAGATTGAGGCCCCGTCCACAAGAAGACGAACCCTGGCCTAAACGCACAAATTTTTCACCAACCAGCCTCTCATCCACACGAAGTCGGCGTTTCGGGGGTCTGTAAACGATCTTTTTTTTATTCAGCCTTCAGAGTGGGAAGATTTCGAAACGCCGTTTTTGCGTTTCCATCTTTAAGCTCTAACCGCATTTTTTTTTTTTTTACACGCATGCGTCATAGCGTCGCCTCTAAACACGCATGCGCGACACAGTATCACAACAACAATGGCGCCGTTGCTGCTCATGCTACTCACCCTGCTGTCGGGCTTACAACAGAATCTTCTTCTTCTGGAATATCTCCAGGAAGAACAGAGCAATATCGACGACATAGTTCAGCACCTGAATTTGACTTAACCACGAAAATGGACCCGCAGGGCAACCATGTATAAATATTAGTGCCATGCCCAACATTTCGTCGCTTATTTTTGCTTTGGCACCACAGCGCCACTTACAGGCCTGGCATACATTTTGCAGCGTTTTCATGCATAAGTGTGGACGATCACATTTATTTTACGTCTCCGTCTTTACGGCAAACGTTTTGGAAAATATCAGCGTTTCGTGTTCGTTTTGACTTCGTGTGGACGGGGGCTAAGAGATGCTTTATTAAATTGGCAACCATTCTGCGTCAACTGCCATGGTGTAAACTCATACAGGTGTCAGAATATAGTAGATTCCTCCATTTACTTTAGGTAGGATCAGCTGCAGCGCTATTGATGAATAGAGAACAGCTTAAACTGACTTCAAAGGTCCCGGCTCCCCTTGTTGATGACATCAAAACGAGCGGAACTCTAATGCTCATTCACACCAAAGGTGTTACAGGCATTAAAAATGCTCAAACAGGAAATCTGAATGCTAGGTCAGATGCTGTCAAACTGTGGTGAAGTTGCTTTGATAGTTGATTGCTCTGGCTGCTTGGCGCTGTTTATATGCTCTGTTCTGTAGCTTCATGCTTTTCCAACTCATAAAGTTTCCAACTCATAGTTAACTTTATGAGTTGGAAAAATTATTTTAACATGTTTTTAAGCGTTATACGTACCTCCTGACATAGAGTAACCTCGGGTGTAGTAAGTTCATCAGGATTATGACCATACTAAATTATGCAGTTCTTGTTCGGAGTGCCACATCTCCAGCATACCACCGGGATGCAGTGCTGGAAATCCCAGCTGGGAGCTCTCTGCAACTGCCAGCCTGTTGAGGATTTCACTCTGCCATTCATAGTGGCTGAAAGTTAATAGAGTTTTTAAGGTTTGTAGTCAAAAGCTGCAAGTACCGGAATATACAATTGAAAAGTTTTCATGGACAACAGCAATCCATTCTTCGGGCTTTTATTATTTAACCTTTGGAATTGAACTTATCTTTCATATACAGAATTCTGCAGAAGCGATGACAGCTTGCAGGTGTTGTCTGTCTCCCAAAAAAAAAACCTCTGGATCAGCTTTTCTGATTGATTGATGTTCCTGTGTCCAGCGGCAAAAGTTCAATTTAGTGAATTCCATGGTTATAAGGTTGGGCGCCAGAACTCTTGAAATACGCCCCTCCCAATGCTCGAATGCTCCGCTGGACCCCTAAACGCTGTCTCCCGTAGACTATGCATGTAAATCAGATGCTTTAATGCCAAGAATGTGCCCGGTGTGAAAGCAGCATAACAGAGGATAAAGTGCAGTCACTTTGGTCCCCTAAGTCTGTAGGCTTTTGAACATTCAAAAATGGTGTTAAAAAAAAATCAGTCAGTGTGACAGCTATCCATTGTCTTCGATTGTGGTTAATTTCATATCTGTAGCTCATTCACAAGCATAATGGGAACAACAAATCAAAAAGTTTTTCAAAAATCCTTGTGTGGTTAGATTACATTGAGTTCCATGTTAGAGATGACCGATCAGATACTCTAAAACCCCTCCAAACAAATCAGTGCTTTGCAAAAACCAAGAATGTCCTCAATTTTACTTCATTTGATACCTGTATGTCTATAGAAAAATATTTAGAATAATGTAAATATAGTTTGTCATACCTGTGTTTGTGCTCATCTCTCGTAGGGATGTATGTTAACAGGTGGGTAAAAACCCCTCTGCACAAATTACTGCCCTACAAAAACCATAAATGTTATTCAAAAAATGGTTTTAACGTGAGTGAGAGCCATTCCTCTTCTTTGATTTGGCTTAATTTAATCTCTGTATATCTTTCAAATTTGTAAAATATATGTGAATCTATAAAATGAAATTCTCTGTCATTTTGTGTGAGCAAACCTAATCACAACTACATATCTGATTTACAAGCGCAAAGTACATTTGACAGGAGTTTGAGGCCATACTTGATGGCTGATTTTAGAAAAACTGTAGCAGTGATCAATATACAGTTTCCAGTTTTTGAAAGATTTATATACAAATGGAGCTTTAAATTGTGTTTTTAGGTTAATGTATGGTATTGTAACTTAATCACCTATAAAAGAACCGGCACCCATGCTGAGACCAAGCCGGACGTTCTGATACCTATATTGTGTGGGTTTGTCCTATGGTTCGGGCCGCATTAATGTTGACAGAAAAAGAATAAACATAATAAACATAGAAATAAAGAGTCAGTTAATAGGTGCCTTCATGCAATTACATTGCTGTGGCAGGTACCAATAAAATAATTAACTTTAAGAGGTCAAAATAACACTGTCAGTTGGATACAAGGTTTATTCACTGCATCATTTAAGCTGCTTCTAGCTTGAAAAGTGACTTAAATGAGTATGTTGTTGCAAAAGTGAAAAGGTATTTTATTACTATTAGTATGTTGGGGGGTTTTTTATGTTTAGAAGGTTTTAAAAATACATGTTTTTTTTACTACAAGTTATAGTTGATACTACAGATTTAAAAATAATATATTTAATGATAATTACAAAAAATCTTATTACACATTTCTTATAAGCACAACTTTTCCCTTACTCTTCTGAGCTCCTCTAGCACCACCTGGTGTCAAAACCTTGAAAATCAATAAGTTAGCTGACAATCAAATGCTGTATACTGTAGGATGTATGTTAAGTGGGCAGTTACCATATATCATGTATGTTAGCTGTAAGCCAAGATTGAAAATTTAAAAGCCTCTTTTGGATGTTTTCCATGGCCGTTTATTTATTTATTTTTTTACCTTCCAGCTTTTTATTGTCATTACACTGTCACAAGTACAGAGCATGAACTATCTGCATTTAACCCATACCCTTGGGGGGCAGTGGGCTGCCATTGTGCAGCACCTGGGGAGCGCTGTGGGGATAAGGGTCTTTGCTCGGGGAGCCAGAGTGTCAGTCTGTGGGAGTTGGTCTCAAACTCAGAACCTTTGGATTCCAAGCTCTATGCCCTAACCACTAGGCTACAACTCCCAGATCAGTAACATAATCAAGGGACTTTCGGCCCTGTGTCACTACAACACCATAACAAAGATCTTTGCTATGAAACAGTATTTAGATCAAACATTTTTAGATTTGGCTGGAAATCAGAGTTTTCTGCTTTTTATAAGTGTAGGAGAAAAACATAAACCAAAGCCTAAAAAGACATAATAACCAGGTTAGGTTTTTAAGGCCATTTACGTTAATAACTGTCAAAGAAGTAATTTTTTATCATTTCTGATCATTTAGTTTTGCATTAAAAATGTATAATTGATTTCCCTTTCTTAATATTGTATAACATTAATTACTTCTCAGTTTTTAAAAAATTATGTTTTAAACTGTATGATTTGTTGATAACTGATATTTACCAATATGTTTCTCTTCCCTTTGGATATAATGAAAGGCAGATAACAGCACTGACATTATTTTAGCGAAATGCCCACAATGCTGAGTTTTACCACAATCAATGTCACATGAAGAAAAAAATACAACATGATTAACCCGATCTCTTCCCCCGTTGAAATACATGGAAATACATGTTTGCTTTTTTAATATCCGCCCAGTTTCTCTTATCAAACTGACACAGATAAGCTTAAAAAGAACCAACATTTGCCAATACTGATACTTCTGCTAATATACATCTATTCCTATGTTATGTTTAAACCACTTTTTAAATATATGTGTTTTTGTGTTCAGGTCCCAAGGAACCACCTCAATGTCTACGGGGACATGGTTGCGTGGCTGCCATTGTAGTTTTTGTTGTAGTAGCGCTCATAGTCCTTTGTTGTTGGATGAAAGGTAAGAGAAAATTATTCAAATTATTTATGTAATTTTTACTTTAAAGAGACCAGCTTTCATAGAAATAATTTAAAGAACAAACAAGATGGCTAAAAAAAAGATGGTATTAGACATTGTCATGCTTAAATGATAATATTGTTTTGTACCATCCCTAGGACTATTTCAGGGGAATTGAAGCCTCCCAAAGCTGTTCTCAATGAACCCATCCGCCAACTAATTTAGTGTTTTTTTGTATTTAGTTTTTCTTTTATTTATTTATTTATTTTTTTACAAATAATTGCCCATTAATGTGATATAATTTGTTCAGAATATGATTTTAAATAAATCACACAACCTGTCATTACTAACTTAATTATGATAAATATATCTGTCAGTTTTCCTTTAACTCATAGAGTAAAGGGAACCTGATCAGTGCAATTAATTCCAATTGTTCTTATGGATTTCACCCATTTCACTTTAAATCCAGTCTATCCCTGTAACTCCTCAGCATGGAAGGCATAGTTAACTCCAGCTGTGAGGAAGCAATAATAATCAATTATTGCCTGATTTTCAGAGGGTTTGCTCCTCTCGAAAACATATACATGCATGTTAGAATGCATTGAGCTGATCTTTAAAGCAGGCGTGAAGTGATGGGCATTTGAATCAGCAAACAAAGACAAGAGTGCATCATAAATAACAACTAGTATTTGTTATTATTTATGTTATTACTGTCTTCATCTCCATGGCTTTGAACCTCTTCTTTCTTTGTGTTAATTCTCAAACTGCCAGTAGAACATGCAAATGGTCATTGTAATGGGGCACAACCAAACTGGTTTGCATGTCTTAGCATTGGCCCAGCATTTCCCCCTCAACATGCCCACATATTGCACTGGCAAAAAAATTAATAAAAAAAATGTATGTGCAATTTAGCCCCTTTGATTTGGGATCTTTCCAGATTAGGCCCAATAAGTAATAAATATCAATGCGAGTTGCAAAAGTTAGTTAGTTCCAGCTCCAATCTGAAGTCTTTTACTTCTATGGTACTTTTACTTAATTAAGATGTTAAAGATGAGATAATCTTTTTAGAGTAAAACCTTTGCGATAGTCTATACACCTCTATTAGAACAGGTTTAATGCTGGATTCCAGCACTTGCTGTTCTGTGGTTTTACAAGGACTGAGTCGAACTGGTGTCTTGTTAGCCTTTCCTCTTTCTTTTCCTATGACACCTGAAGTTAAGATAAATTAGTGTTTAAAATAAAAAATTGATAGCAAACATTTTCACTGTAGTTATCTAGCTACCTTGAAATGAAATCTAGCTTTTTCCAGCTAAGGCAGCTGGCAAAGATCAAACCAGTCCTTCAGAGACGGCACTTTGAGACAGTAATCCACGCCTTTGTGACCACTCGGCTGGATTACTGTAATGCACTTTATGTGGGGATTGCTGGGTCCTCAATTGCTCGTCTTCAACTTGTTCAAAATGCTGCTGCACGTCTTTTAACTGGCACACGCAAGTACGAGCACATTTCACCTGTTTTAGCTTCACTCCACTGGCTGCCCATCCATTTTAGGATTAATTTTAAAATTCTTTTATTTACTTTTAAAGCCTTGAATGGCCTTGCCCCAATTTACCTCTCTGAGCTTCTGCACCCCTACACTCCCAGCCGATCTCTCAGGTCAGCTGATCAGCTGCTCCTGACAGTGCCTAAAGCAAGGCTTAAGCTCAGAGGGGATCGAGCGTTTTCTGTTGCAGCTCCAAAACTCTGGAATGCATTGCCGCTGCACATTAGACAGGCCACCTCTCTGTCTCATTTTAAAACTCTTCTTAAAACCCACCTCTTTTCTTTGGCTTTTAACACCATGTAGAGTGTTGATTTTATGTACACATGTTGATTTTATGTACACATGTTGATTTTATGTATACACATGCATTTTTTTATCCTGTGCGGGCAGTGCTTTTATTTTATTTTATTTTATTACTTTTATTTATTTTAGTTATTTTATCTTTTTGTGCAGCACTTTGGAAACCTTGTGTTTATTTAAACCGTGCTATATAAATAAAGTGGATTGGATTGGATTGGATACCTTGTTTTTTTTCTACAAAAGCCAGCATTGAATGATCCATATGATGGTATTATAAGAGTCAGTGAGTTGAAATACAATAGGAGAGGCCAAGGCTAATTATCCAACCTTTACTTCAGGAGCCGCAGCAGCAAGAGCCTCAACAGCAGGAACTTCAGCATTACGATTTAATCCTGGCTCCTCAGAAATAAAAGTTGTAAAATCAATCTATTCAAATCATCCATGTCTGGAATGAAAAAGCAATGACAATTGATAACCATTTAATGTGAAATACAGGCTTGCTCTGTCAGTTTACAATTAGAGCTATTTCCTGTAATGCTGTATTACAAGAGTGAAAATATCATAAACGTTTAAATTTTATAGAGAAAAAAAAAAAAAAAAATTAAATTTGACACACTTCATAATGTCACCAGATTTGAGCTTTAGTGTTAAAGAAAGTTATTTAAGCATATATAGTGTGGAAATGGCATAGAGCACACTTACCATCCTGTGTGCTGTAGGGGTTCTCATACCGGTCCTTATTGTCACATGTTGAATGATATAGCTGGTATATAGTATAGACCTCTTTTATGTAGATGGGACTTCTGGTTTCTTGCTTTTTGTAGTGTATACAAAAACAAAAGGCACAAAATATATACTCTGCCAGCATATACAGTATGTAGAGCAAACATATACGTGTTTAATTAGCCACAAACTAATACTATGTATCCCAATTAAACTGCATAGAACTGCATGTCTATATTTTATAATAAATTTGCTATTGACACTAAAGAATAGAGAATCTTGCCTGATCTAAAATGAGCCCCACAGACAAAAACATTTCTGATAATGTTTTCAGTCCAACCTACAAAACTTATAGTCTGAAGCCAAGGCCCCCTTTGGTAGCTCAGAAATAGCCAGTTACCTTTTGGTATGTGGTAGAACTTCAGCCCTTTCCAAGAATATTGGTAAATACAACAATTAGTGCAACAACCTGGTACATTTATGCCAGTGGCTTCGATTGTATACTGTTTAGCTTCGGTTCACATCTCCCTAGTTAGACGAACAATAGGGTCACCTTTCCCTGTTGCGAGTGGAACTTCCTGATAATGTAGCCAATAAATAGAGCTATAGGCCGATACCAGCATGTTTACACTCCTTTTTGATATGATGGTGAAATTTGTTTCATAGAGTGGTTCAGTGTGACTGGTAGATGAATCTCTATCTATGGCTTTATAAATGTAACTCTTTGTTTCAACCATTTAGCTGCAGTCTGTGAATTATAACTAATAGAATCAAACACCAGTGTTGGGTGGTGTCAGGTCTAAGCACCTAAAACATCATACAGGGAAAGAGGGAAGGCACAGAGACAATTAATTTAGTTTACTCTCAAGGAGAGTAGGAAGAGACTACGGAGTTTACAAATCTTCAACCCACTCTGCAGTCCCAGCATTCTCCTTGCTATTTATTGAAATCAGGGGTCCCTGGTTAAAACAGCTGAGACTGCTCTAGAGACTAGAAACAACATGAGGAATTCAGACTTGCAATCTCAGTAAACATCCTATAAATGTCAGGGTTCAGTCAAAGTTTAAGCTGTTGAACCTGTTCACCAAAGTTCAGCAGGTCGAGTGCTGCTCGTAAATCTACAAATCACAGTATACTTCAGAAAAGGTGGCTATAAACACATGCACATAGCACACAGCTTTATGCATTATAACGCTACACAGATACATTTATATACAATTATTCTAACAGGTGGTCACAGCACAGATGAAATAAATAAACTTAGATTGTTACTAAAAGTAAAAATGTATCAACTAAACACAGTACCGACTTCAAGATTTGTTTTCAACTACCGTTTTCCCTCAAATATTGACTGCCTTTTATGTCAATTAATCTGTGCTGCTTTGATGCTCATTAGTTATTCTTCCATTTTAAGTTGCTTTGGATCAAAGAACAAATGTTGTTGTTGTTTTATTGAAATGTATTTATTGGCTAATTTTGAATGATTATATTCAGTTATTAACTCTTTCTCTACAACCATATCATAACTGTTTTACTTTTTAGGTTTGGTCAGCTATATACTGACGTTTTCTTTTTTATTTTAGAAAAGATCATCTATGCATTTCAAAGGTTAACAGGTATACAATCGTTTTAGGCTTATTAACTCATACAGGCCTATTCCTCTTTGTGGGCTTACATATTTTTTTTCTTTTTCAGGTAAAAATGATTCATGAAAAGACTGAGGTGTCAAATGGTATATGCATGAAAAGTGCATGCCTGCCAAGATATGCATCCCCAGTACGCATGTAATGAACAACATTAAATCCAAAGATCTTGTCCGAGGTACGGCTGATTTATTTGTTGTAGTCTCTTGTTATTCAGACACAACAATAAACAGTAGTGACGTCAGTTTGGAAACTGTAAAGCTTTGTCTTACGAGGAAAATCAAAATGTGCATCTACACAGCACAACGTTCACTGACCAGTGAGATGTCCCTAAATCATCTTTCTTTTTTTTTTTCCTGTCCC